CCTTCTTCCGGAAATTTTTCTTGTTTTTTTCCTTCAAATTCTTCCCTTTTGTGTGAAACCTTCTTCTTGGTGAAAGACCCTTGGTTCACGGGCCTTTTTGGGGGTTGTTTTTTTCGCTGGGGGGATTTCAAAACTTCCGTTGTTTTCGTTCTTGGGGTACCTTTTTCGGGTCCCACCGCCGTGGCCATTAACCGTTCCAATTAAATTGGAGGAAACCCGCCGGTTTTTTTTGGAATTCCTGGTTACATTGTGGTTGCCAAAGAATTTCGGTTTCTTTTTTCCCCGGGAGGCGGAAACAGTGTTAATTGGGTGGGGGGGAACCCCGGTTTGGTTGTTTTTTTCTTTTTTTTGGATTTTTTGGAGGCGGAGAAAAAAAAACAGTTACCAAAACCCGGAGACCATGAGCTCAAGGGACGGGATAAAAAAAACCCGGGGGCCAAGGGGGGGGTAAAAAAATTCGGCCTTTACCCAGGGGGACCCCTGGAGTTGGGGAAAACCATGAGAAAACCCCCGGGGGGGGGGGGGGGGGGGGCACAGGGCACAGGGCACAGGAAATCCGTGCAACCGGGATAAACAGAAGGCACAGCGGAGGGCAGACGTTTGACAAGCGTGTGAAGAGGGTGGGTGGTTGGTCCAATTGTTTGACGCCTGCCCTAGCATTTGACCAGTGACCAACCATCTCTTTTCAAAAGGGGAAACATTCACATCCCTAACACAGACGCGACCGTCATTCGGTCGTTCTCCTTGGTTATCCCGGAAACTATACAGGAGTTCATACACACCTCGTCCCCTTCATTTTGGAAGATCGTGGCCAACATATTGCAACCAAGATCAGCACTCTCATTGTTAGTCACTGTACTCAACGGAAACACCCCCACCGATAGATTTCTTCGTCGCGAGGGGACAAGGGATCTGAATCTGTGCATGTAAAAAGGGTTGGCGGGCATCAGTCGCGGAATCCGTCCAGCAAGACTCAAGAGACAGGTAGCCGACAGGAAACGGGAATGACGGAAACGACTGACGGATGAGGCGGAGGAGCTCTCCCTCTGGAACCTCGTAGTAAGCCAAAGGAAGGGCAAGAAGTCGCATACCAAAGGCGTGGTAAATTGGTCGCCCAGCAGCTCAGGGGCCAATGTCTGGATTGCGTCTTATTCTCAGTACGATTCCGTGAGTATCGTAGTTTCCAGGCACCGAATTGCACAGAAGCCAACGCCACTCAAAACGGTGTTTTTCTCAATTCAAAAATCGAACGTAGAGGGTCGCAGCTGACCACCGGGGCCACACAGGGACAACAAAAGTCCACAGGGCAACGTCGATGGCGACAGCAACAACAAAAATCTGACCGGCCCTTGCGTAGCACCTACCTGCGGAGTGATGTTGATCGAGGAGCTGTAGAACTGTACGCGACCACTCGACACAGTCACTCTCGCCTTCGTCAACGGGTGAAGCGCGTTTTCCTAGAATGGATGAAGGTCGCAGCGGAAAGCGAAGCCGCGTTTGACGAATGTATCCCGCCATTAACACTTACTTGCGCAGAGCCAACCAACGAGTTTATTTCGAAGTATCGTGTATCGTATACAACGCTGCGGGGTAGTGCCACAGGCTTCGGCATTCCGGCAGAAGGGGGGGGAAAGGAAGCTGAAGGAAGCCGAGGCCGGCGCACGTACTCCGACAGAAAACTATACTGTAAACGGCGACTATACAATACACGGTACGTCATCATGCGCATGGCAGTGCTCACCTCACGCCCAACAAACTGTGGTACACGAGACCGCCGTGAGCCATTTGCAAGCTAGTCTCACCTCGTAGTAGTCTATACAATCCACGTATATGGTTTCCTCTTCTCTCCTAAGCCCGGCAAGATGCAGCGGCCAAGCGAACATCATGCCCACGCCCTTGCGGAGCGCCGATGTGTGTGGCAGCATGGCAGGCCGCGCCGAGCTGGCAAGCTCGTTGTCCTGCTCGTCTAGCAGCGTCGTGTGCACCTTTCCATCCAACACGCGACGGCAACGACACTATGAAGGAAAGATGGATGAGGCGATGGCAATCAAACCGAGGATATCACAATTGTGCACGTCAACCCAATTTGATCGAGTTGTTGCACGCCACGATCCCGATTGCAGTCTGCTTCGGTACACTTTGTACAAGGTTCCCCTTCGGGAGGTAGGTGTGCTTGCCTCCCAGGGGCGACGCAAGAGGACATGGCCACTGCTATCATGGTTGCCTCGTTGTATATCTCAACCTACCTTCGGTAGTGTCACGGTTTGTTTCGGTAGAAACTAATAACTGCAGAAGGTATCTCGCATCAATTTGTGGGGGGAAATTATTTTCGCCGTTTCTCTTCGCGTGCGCTCTCGCGGTGCCGTTGCCGTACATCCCACTACTGCTGAAACACACAGGCATCGCTGGGAAGTTTCTGCGCCAAAGCTCTGTCATCAGGACAAGCTCGACACACAGTGCTTACCGAAAAGGCCGTGTGGCGCCGCATCGCCGCTGATAGCAGGGGCAGTGTAGCATAAAAGACATGTAAGTGTTGTATATGCAAATATGCACCTCCTATTATCTTACCATGAAGACGCCGATCCTCCTGTTGATATATGACGTAGGCATCTGCAGCTCCAGACCGACTTTGTAGTGCTGCCCAGCTTTGAGCACCCTGCAGGACAGCATCACCCCGATGGGATATATAGAACAGCGAGTCGAAACGGTCACATTGGCTTAGCACGACAACGAAGAGACTGGAATATCGATTTCCGGCTACACGACAAAGGACAGGTGCAGATCCGCATCATCATTGATGACGTTGGTCACGCCTTATCAAACGTTGTCCTGAAACCTACGGTTACGGACATTTGCTTTGCTGTGGAGAAGAACTAGGGCCAGCGGGGGTGTGCTCAGCGGTGGGTAGCTGGCTCACTTTGTGTTGAGACGCTCGACGTTGGTGAGAGGGGACGGGTCCCACTGTGTGTGCCTCGCCAGAAAGTCCACCGTGCCCGTCGCACTTCCCTGCCAACACAGAAAAACAAATGGCAGAGCAGCGGTGTCAGGGTCCATAATAATAGGATATGGTTAGATTAACGAAGGGAGACAGAAAACGAGAAAATGAGACACGACAATGTCTCTACGAAAATCCACCACACATAAAACGAAGTTTTCGCGCTACAATCCTATCGTATCAAACCATATAATGAAAAGATTTCTTACTGTCGTTGCTCTGTCGGAGTAGTCCAGGAAGATGGGCTTATCGTGCAGGCGGAGAGGCATGACTAGCCAGTACAGTGCCCCGTATAGGACCACAGCCGACAGTAGCACAGCCTCGAAGAGCAGCAGGTACTGCAGTCCCTGTTGTTGAAGGAGGGGAAGGTGAGGTCTTGAGCAAGGCAGCGCCGATTCACTCATGCACATGGGATGCGAAGTGCGCTCAATATAAGGTCAAAGAACCGATGGTGACGCCCGTTCGTGAGCAGCTACACTGAGGAACATCAACGTCTATGGGGACCAACGATTCTTCAGCCCCTGTTTAAGGTTGAGGAAACACCACAGACTGGGCTCTCTGTTTGCCGGATCCGAATTACAGGAAGACCCAACCTTGGCAATGCAGATTCTGTCCCCGAGTGGAAATTGAGATATTGACGGATATGTCCACAGCAACATGATTGACAGCATGTAGGGCAGGGTCTCTCCAGAAAACAAAGTATTCTGGTCCAGCCTCTGTGGCTTGGTTTGGGAACGAAATTCTGTTTCCAGAGTAAGCAAAATCCGTCGCTTTGAAAGCGAGTGTGAAGACAGAACAAGCATTCCGTATGCATGGAATACGCTGTGCACCATTCGAGGACGGCACATGAATGACAACAATGGACGACCCACTTACCGTTACGGCCGCGGCTATAGCCCGATTTACGAGCATCGTCATTGACTCGACCAAGCTTGCCAGCGGGCCTGGTGGGAGCTGCTGCTGATGCTGTTGCCGTCGTTGCTGTATGTACTGCTGCTGGGGCTGATACTGCCCGTCATGCTGCTGCTGCTGCTGGTGTTGCTGCTGCTGGTGTTGAAAAGAACCACCCCCCTCTCTTTGCTGCTGCATTCGCCGCCCCCCCTGAGCAGCCACCTCATCGACGATCACGCCAACCAAGCCCTGGGCCAGGGATCCAATCATCGCCATCCCCACCCCCCCTCGCCGTTCAGCCGACCGTAGCAGCGACTAGAGAGCAACTCCTTTCTGTGGCCAACGCCGTGGATGGGGAAATGAAAATGCTTTGTCTTTGTGGTGATAGTGCAACGGCTTAGGAACGATGCAAAATACTGAAATGACTTCGTACGCACTGCTTTCAGGCACTCTGTTCATGTTGCTTGCATGTGCATGGTACCCGATCACTGATATATGTGGTAGATACAACTGTGCAGACATCAGACAAATCCCTCATTTCAACACTTCATGTTCATTAGCAAGTTTGGCAGTTTGGATGGAGGGGCATCTCGAGAAGTCTCAATGTGTCTGTGGTCTCAGAGTGGGTATTTCGGTGCTATTAGGTGCTACTCTATCTACAGCAGTAGAGAGGGTGAGCGGGCGTATGATAGAGTGCTTCGATACAAAACAGAGGAACATTACCAAGAAGAAGCCAATAGGGTCAACAAGCACAGCTCATCGGTGGATCCTAGACTAAACTCTCTGTGACACCTCGTGCTTGACAGCAGTGGCGATGAAATATAGAAACTGAAAGCCTCGACCCGATTTTGACCTTTCTTATCTCCCGGGCCGCGTCTGTACTCTGTACGCAGTGACATGTCCGCCCGGAGTAAACTAGTAAACCCGTTGTTGTGGGTAGCCAGCTTGCTGCCGCATGAGAGCAAAACAGCTCGCTTGGATTTAATCAATTACGGTCCATGACAAAGGCCGGCCTGTTGCCTACACATTTCTGCCCGCCGCAGAACTTGTTGTACTTCTTTTTCTTTTCTGTAATAAAAGGCAGTTGTGTAAGGCGGTTGGGCAAAGCGGAGTAATTTACAATTGAAGTGGCATACGCACCTGCTGTAGAGAAAATGTCCAGCTCAGCCCTCAGGGGTAAAAGGACCAGTGTGCGTGGCTGGACACGTTCTCGGCAGCCACACTCAGCTCTACTCCACTTCCGTGTCAACTCTGCTTCCGGCTGCAGGCTGGTGGGTGCCGAGAGAGCGCCGACGGACGCCGACTGTGTTGGGGCTCCGTGTAATCGGTGCATTCTTCAGGCGAACTTCTTGACATACCCTCGATATTCCTATACTCTTGCCCCCTATTGACCCACCCCAATCCACCGCCACCGCCACCGCCACCGCCACGCCCACCGCAAGCCCCCGCCACGCGCGGAGATTTACACGAGAGAGGACGAGAGAGAGAAAGGTGATGAAGAGGGTGCCCTTTCTCAGGAATTTCGTATGGTGAGAACCAGCATCCCGACGTCCTTGTTGGCTGCTACTTGTAGTCTCCGAACAGCAGATGATGCCTTGCTGACACCGGTGTACTGCTGTACATTAGACCTGCAGCAGGGGCAGGAGGCAGTAGCTTTGCTATGTCAAAAAGGTGGAGGAATCGTGGAAAGGAGTTGTGCTAATAGCTTGCACGCCATCTGCGTGGTCCACGAGGTTCACTTCGATATGTGCTACTAATGTGCAAACCAGCAGTGTCGGCGTGATTTTGCACACCCGCATGTAGACCGGCCGCCTCGTTCCTGTGGTTCAGCTACATCTGCATCGACTTTAGACTTTATGTAATTCAAAACGTAAATACAAACGCAGAAATACTTCCCATTCGAGATATAACCACAGTTGAACGGGATGTGTTGGAGTCTTTGCAGTGACTGGAGGGAAACGGGCTGGGTGCTATGTTCGACCCAGTAGCACGCATTGGTGAATACCACACGTAGCTCCGAGAGGGTTTTCGGGCTACAGCAGCATTATATTCTCCGTTTCCGCCCAGGTGACCAAAGGCTGTTACGCGAGAAGTTGCGCAACGGCTGTGCGGTGTGTGTGCTTCTTGTCGTGCTTCCTGTCGTGTACTATTTTAGTTGTACATGCACAGCAGTGCCGCTGGAGTGGAGTATTGAGGAGGTCTGCCTCCCGAGTCAGGGGTGCACATCTCACGTCTGTGACTGCCTGTCTGCTGATCGTCCAAGATGCGGTAATTAAAACGAATTTACCATCGTTCATGTGTCGACGGAGCACGGTCAACATATAAGATGCATGGAGAGCAAAAATGGTGTCACTCGTAAACGGCTCCCCACAATTACAGGCAGAGGGTGTGTTCGAAACGGGCTAACTCTTGCGGGGGCACATAATGTACATGATGCAGTAGGAGATCTGCGCCTCTCTCTCTGTTGCCGACACCACGCCCCTTGCCCATGATTTATTCTCGCACTGCTTTGCTCTCTGCCGCTACTACTGCTGCTCGCCCTTCCTTGTGTCCATGCTAAACCTCGGCAGTTCATGACGCTGATGTTCTATTAATTGAATAGTACGGACCTCCCCGGGCGCAAGTTTTTTCCCAGCACACCGGTATTGGTCAAGTAGGCGGACTTGCCGTGAACGCAGGCCGTTCGAGAAGACCCAGGCTATTCGTGAACTACTGCTGTAGCGGGCGTGGTGTCGAAGCAAAGCGGTGTAGTTCACTGGCACCGCCGGCGTAGCTCAGAATGGCGACCACGAGAAGAAAGCTTTCGTGGGTCCCAAGCGCCCTCAGCAACGTCAGCAACGTCTCCGTACAGTCCGACGGCAACGGCGGCGGCCTCGCAGGCACGGAGTCGCCACGTGCACCACCGGAACACAACCAGAACAGGCAACCGCGATCATCTGCGGCACGACAAGCGTTTGGACCCGTTTCCACCTTGGCGCCGGCATATGACCCGTTTGGTGACCCCGCCGCTGCCGCCGCCGCTGCTGTCGCGTTTTCTGGCGAAACTGTCGCTCCTATCAACGCGACGCGGCCCATTGGCACTGCGGATGGGACAGTAGCAACATCGAATAGTGTTTCGACGCCGCCCAACACCGCCGATGTGGCGGACCCTATCCCGTATCGGCCGGGTTCATCGATGACGGACAGGCGTAGGTCCGACGTGCATGCTGTCCTGGAGACAGTGAATCAGCTAGCCCAGGACATTGCCGCAAAGGAGGCGGAGATTTCAGGGGTCAAGCAAGATTTGGAGAACGTGCAGGTGCGTTTGACTGCAGTTATTTTTTCTAACGTCGTTGTTTCTGCCCCTGCGGATGTCGTCGACGTCATCGTTGCTGCTGTTTTTGCCTTGGATGTTGACATGGTTGCCTTGCCTTGTTCCAACGCCCGCCCAATCCGCAATTGCAATTTGGCAGGGGGCCATTGAGGTCAGCGGCTCTTATCGGGGGAAAGAGGGGGGTGCGCTGGCTTCGGTGGAGGAAAGGTTAGGCCACAGGGAGCGACTGCTGCGGGAGGAGAAAGCGCAGCTGCGGGAGGAGAAACTGGAGCTCTCGAGATTTCTTAATGCCGTACCCGAACAGAGAAGAGGATCCGAAGGTGCCGAAAATTTTCCCAGAACAAGTAAGATCGGTCGGTAGTCGGCAAGTGTTTTAGTGTTGTTTTCTCCTCTCCCGCAAAGGCTGGCTTTCAGAGTATCTAACCTCCGACGTGTCGCTTTCCTACATTCATCGCGGATCGGATCCATGGGATGATCCTTGGTATGATGGGCATCTGGGCAGTCAATCAGAGTGTTGTATGATCACTCTGCTCGCCTCGTGGAACCCCGACTCCCCTACGTCGGTTAGCTGCCGCAAATATGTTTCGAAGGATAACGCTCGTACCTTGCGCGCAATATTATGGAGTAAACTGCCAACACACGCTGATTTTGTGGCGTTTCCGTCAAAAATTGGTTGCCGAACGAGAATGGACCCAGTGTTGAAGTTCGTTCATGGCAAACTCAATCGAGCAAACGAACTACTTGTCAACATTTTTGCAGCGATTAGGCTGTTCAGCAATACACTCCTTAGTCTCAAGAACTGCGGCGTGCGATGTCATCGAATATTCAATGTTCGTCCGCCGTCGGCTTGGCCGATAGTTGCTTGTCGATTTCTCCGCGATGAGGTGGCTGGGATGTGGAAAATCGCGTAGTCTTGATGCGAGCTGTCCAAGATTTGGCATTGCCGTGAACGACGACTTTTTCAAAGGGAACAGGGGGAAAGGGGTACACAGCATCGTACTCTTCACAGACGTTCTCTCGTCGTTACGTCAGTGCTACAATATGCGCTTCTTGTCGTCGCTTCTCGGGTTTGCTGCTCGGGTTTCGCGCACGCCTTCCATGCATGCAAAGACCCTACAATGCAATAATGGGGCAACACAACACCAAGGGTTGCAATACGTTTGGGGCTTCCCGTTGCGGAGCCTCGTGTTCTTTGCCATATGGTAGGGTATCCGACTATATTCCCGTTTCCGTCTCACCATAGCCTCCCCGCGCGCGCGTGCTCTGGCACTCTCGTTGGCGCTTCTCTTACGGTTTCTCTCATCTCGACAGCCGCACGCCCACAAAAGAGGATATCATTCATCATGACGCGTTCGCACGCGGATGATCCTTCGCAAGAACTAGCAGGCAAGTGAACAACGAATAAGCTTATTCGTCCGCTTTCCTGCCCTAGCACGTGCTTGAGCTTGATCACGAGGTAGTACTAGTGCGAATGGATTCGTAGGATCGTTCTCTGTCTGGGTATGTATGCCTGACGCATTCTGTGGTTTTGTATGTTTGAGTAGTCCTGATTTTCGCCCCTTCCCGCCTCCTGTGCGTGTCTGGTGGAGCGAGATTAGTATGTTAGTATTCTCCACTACTGTGACCGTGGAAGAGGAAACCGTTGCTTGCCTACAGGGTAGGTGGCTGTTTGGTTCTGTCTACAGGCAAAAAGGACGCGATTTTTTTTGTAGCTTGGCCACAAGCTATAGTACAGAATTTGAGGTCCAGCTGCCCCCAGCGTGGCCGGACGGCGATAAACGACCTTTCGATGAGTCGGGGACTCGGTCTTGCCAGAGCTCCACGTAAATGTACCTTTCTGCAGTGGTTCTAGAGCAAGCCGGTGGAGGAGGGCATGGGGCTCCAGTCGATGGCGTGAGCAGAATTACTGCACATGTTCGAACGCGGGGCCTAATAGTACTAGTTGTTGTCAGTTGCAAATCGCCTTTTACCCACTTGTTCTATACTGGTATTCTCGTGTGGTTGTATTGACTCTTAACTAAACAACATCGTGTTCCGCGTCAGATCAGTGTCAGCAACATGAGGTGCAATTTCAACCCAATGCCTGGTGTCGCCGTGCTTCCGCCACGTTGTGCTTCCGCCATGTCCTCCTTCAGAGCAACGAAGGATGTCTCGGGTCCAAGAACTGATTCGGGAGAGACGGCAGAGCGTGAACAGCAGCGAACAGCTCGGAGATGAAGGTGCGAACTGCCGACTCCAATGTCGGACACTCGAGAGTGTATGACTGCCCGACAGTGTTTTGCAAATGCGCATGATCAACGAATGGATGTCCAACTAAAGCAATCCATTGTAGGAGCAGCCGAGACCCCGTACAACACTTCGGTGGCTTGCGCCACCACGACACTTGCTTGTCCGCTATATCGGGCGACCACCAAGCTTTCACGGGCCGAGAATTGTGAAGCTCCGTGTTCTTCCGTAATCCGCCGCCTCACCCTCCGTCGACCTCGAAGTCGGTTCGTTCAGCCGGGACGTCGTTATCGATAGGCTCGATGGCGGCTGACTCACGCGCCGGTTGCTTTTGGTTTATCCGCGCATCTTGTCCAAGCGTCGGGTTGTTCTTGGCTGGTTTTGGTGATCGTTGCCCGCAGCCTCTGCCCTTGGGTGCACGGACGTACCATGCCAGCCTTCCAGTTGCTACCGCTGTTGTCGTCGGTATTGTTTTTTTGCGGCCACCCCATGGTATGCCTCAATAAAGTTGGCGAAGGTACGAAAGGAAATGTGGAAGGGGTTTGAAGTCGATCAATATGATTCGCTGCAAACGGAAAGCCTAGAGGGGTTCAAGAAGGAGATATGAGGTCCCTTGTCGAAGGGAGAAGAATGGAGGTCTACGGAATTAGAAATCATGGTAGAGGAGGGTCTAGATGTATACGGGATGTTGGAAGTAACAGGGGTCAAGGAGTACCAACATGAACCAAGTGATGGAGGGAAGTCAAGAACGCATAAGTTTATCCGTCCACTTGGACTGGGGATAGTGACCTTGCGAGAACGGAGACGATGACAAGTTCAGTTGTGAATATTGCTCCGAGTGCCCAGACCGGGTTCATGTAGGCGCAGCATGTCCGTTGAACGAAAAGGAGATTGTACATGACTGAGGTGGGGAAAATCCAAGGAAAGGACAAAGAAAAGTTGAGGCATGGAGTAGCCAGGAGAGGAAGGTAGCTTTCTGGACTAATTATAGGAAGTGGGTTGAAAAGGCGGGAAGTTATATCAATAGGATATATCCATTTTTGCGCCACCTTTGGTAACGTACGAAGGGACGATTGGCTACTGATGTTCAGTCCTGTGGGAACAACGCCCCATGTTGTCGAGGGCCCGTGGTTGAACATCTAGGTATGCATGAGTACGCAGCCCCATAGTGTGCCTTCGTAACCTAAGGCCGACCAACGTTGTGTAACTGTTTATGCAACCCGGGTTAATGCAGCACCACCTCTCTTTTCCGTTGCTCTTCATTACCCCCTCTTTCCGCTTGTCGTCGCAGCCGGTGAGGACACCGTGTTCGAGATCCACAAGATGGAGGAGGACTCTAGGCTGCTCGTTAGGCTAAGCGCCTTCAACGTTCCCATCCTGGTCGCCACGCTGTTGTCGGGCTTCACTCTCTTGCTCTTCGACGTTGCTAAGACGGACCTTGCTCGACGGCTGGCGGTCCTGTCCTTCGGACTAGAGACGTCGTCCAGCACCATGCTGTGCCTAATCTCTTTCCGGGGGCAGCAGCTGTACGCACACTCGACAGACATCAAGCCGCTAACGAGAAGGTGCGTTCGTGCAAGAGACCACATGGTTTTTGCATCGCAGAGGAAGGCTTCCCTTTTTGACGGGAAGGTGACGTAGGTCAACGTTGCGCCTCGAGCGACGTTGTGCCTCAAGCGACGTTGCGCCTCGAGCTAGCCTTCTTTGTAGCCCGTCAGGGTCCAAACGTACGTGCACCCACCCCGGCCGTCCTCCCTGCTTGCTTTGACCATGTGCCTCCATGGGACGCAAAAATGTGACACACCCACACAGGTTCCTGCGGAAGATGTGCAACGTGACTGTGTTGGCCCTTGTGCTATTTTCCTTGGGAGTCATCGCTTTCGTCGTTTCGTTCGTGGTGGAAGCAAGTGAGGAATTGGGCGTGGGGTGGTTGGCGGTTTTGGGGCTCGTCCTGTGCCCCACGATGCTGGCCGGGCTGATGTTTGTAATAAGCACTGTACAGGTGCGGCGGCACTCGATAGAGTCTGTTCCCCCCCGCGCCAGGCAGTAACAGATATTGTAGCCATTCAGTTTGTGCATATCACACCAGACACTTACCTTGTAGCTTAGTCCATGCAGATGGTTTGGTCGTGTGCCGTTCGCAGATCGTGTTCAACAGCGTGCACAGGGCTCTAGGTTGAACAATGTCTTGGACTTGGGGATTAGTAGGCAAAACGACTCGTTGACCGTTTGGGTCCTGATCCGTCTTTTATTTATGTGAGCATGTGCGTGCCAATTTTGGACGTCCCTTCTGGCACGAGTTCGATGCCTGGTTGGTTTGGAGTATGGAGGGGGGATGGTACATAAAAACATATTGATATCTTGTCCGGAACCAAACTAACATACGTGTTGGTGCCGACAAGCTGGAAATGAAAGAGGATGGGTTTGGTGCGGGTTCCGGTGGGTGTAGAAGAGTTTAGTGTAGAAAGGCTAGCCCTAACAGGTGTTTTTGTGGGCAAGCACGACTTAAAGTAGGTGGGCGTCCCGCAGGTCTGTCTCGCCTCGGATTGAGGCATGAGTTGGCCCATTTAGGATCGCCATTGTCGTATACAAAGAAGAAACTTCAATAGCTGTCCCGGTTTGGATACGTTGAGATTGCCGAGGGCGATGCATGCATCTTGAGGCGTCCCCCTGTCGTTGTTTCACGATTGATCGCGGGGAAGCCGCGAACGTTTTTGGCCTTAGCAGTGTCCGGCCTCGTCTCCGTTGTATCTGTCTGCAACTTCGTTGTGCGCACCCTTCGTCTGGGTGTCGTGGAGGTCGACGTCGGCGAAAATAACTTGTGGTTGCGCTGTTGACGTCAGTGAGTGTTTCACGCACTCGTAAGGGTGCACGAGACGGAACGGGATACGGCAGTCTTGCAAGACTGCTGTGCAATACCTGGATGTCCGGCATGGTTGCAGAGCCGCGGGAAGGAAGATCAGGAACGTGGGATTACGTATGTCATGCCGCCTTCACGGCATGTTCGGGATGATTGCTAGTAACGATTGGACGACTTCGAGCTCGCCTTTGCCCTCGTAGCTATATGTCGCTGCCAAACGTCCTTGGTTTTGGCAAGGTGAATGAGAAGCAGTAGGTGACTGCGTCAGACCGCAGAGCTGAAGCCGCAGTTATTGGAGAAGTCATACAGCAGTGCATTTACAGTTTGAGTGGTGGGTTGAACACTTCGAGATTCTTTTGCATCTTGTTTCCTGGAGACTTTTATTTAGTAAGGTGGCAACGGGAGCATCCACTTGGCAATACCTAAAATGTTGGCCAGCGTATCAGCACCGACTGGACGCATCAGGGAAGTACATTACATTGTTGCTTCAGTGGAACCCATTTAATTTATTCTGATTTTATTTTCGGGGTCAATTCCTTCTCGCCCAGGTCTGCTAGTTCTGTCGATTGACATATTTTGTACTCCCTGTTCAGTACCTTTTCAAAATGTAGCGTGATTGTACAGTATGAAGAGAGGCTTAGTTTCATTAAATGCTAAGCCGCACCGATAGGTCGGCACTGTGCCGGGATAGAGAGGACCATGCATAAAGTACACAGCTTCCATTTGTTTATTTAACACGTTTCGTTTTTCTTTGTCGTTCCATCTGTTTTGGGACCCAGTCTACACCTTTTGGCGTGTGTTTGACCCACCACCCGGGTCACGGAAAAATAATTCTCCACCTTTCTTTCCTCACCTGCGGTGCCTGCCTTCAGCCCTTTGAGTGAGAAGGGTTCAGCGTTTTCTTCCGTCTTTGTTGAGTACTGTACGAATAGACTATGCCCTTTTCGTATTGTGCAAGTTGTTTTCATTTCGGAGAGATTGGACACATAGCCTAGAGCCAGAGGATTTTTTTTTTTTTAAATCTTTGATTGCCTTCGGTAGTGGTTTTCTAACGTTGTTCTAGAGAGCACCCGCTCATCGTTTTGTCCCTCTCCTTCTTGTTCGGAACCCGAAAATCTCGTTCGGGACGAGTTCCACTGCGAACGGTCAACTTTAGGAGCTCTTCGAGCATTGATGGTATTTCGTTCACGTGCGCAGCATTTATCTGTGGAAGAAATGGTGGCGTTCAAAGGCGTCCCATTTCAAGGTCGGTGGTGGACCTTCCGTCTCTATTCACACCGGCGTCCCGCCGAGACGTCTGATTTCGGCGGGAAATTGCACCGCTTGAATCCTGCCAACCAACCATTGTGGATTTGAGCCTGGAATTGCAAAGTGACTGGGCGGGCGGAGCACACTCGGAAGAAATCCACACAGGAGATTGCTATGAGCTGGGATACGGGTACCCACGTAGAGGCGTTCAGCCCCCTTGAAGGTGTGTGTGTAGTCGACATGGTCCCATCTGCATGACTTCCGTCGAGGGTCATTAACTTGATCTCATGACGGTTAGATTGCATACTGTACGATAGTTTATTTATTGTTCGTGTTCCTGTGTTTTCAGCGTGACGAGACTGAGCTGGATCAACAGGGGACTCGCTCATGTTGTAACTTTGTGATACTACTGAAGTATTTTTTCCTCCCAATCCTCCGTCCTGTTCATCAAGCTTCGCCTATCTACTTCTCCGTGAAGAACAAATGCCCACTTCAGGGTGTTCTCGGCGGTTGTTCGCAAGTATGTAGAACCATAGATATTCATGAGTAGGCGTGCTGTTGCCCTTCGAAACTAATCTTCGCGGAGGCAGGCCTACTAACTTCACTCAACCAATTCCTTGGGGGGTGCATGAGGCTCACAGGGGGGGGGGGGGGGATATACTGCCGACACAGATCGGTCTCCAACCTAAACGCCACGACATACAAGTCGCATCCACGCGATGTGGATTGTGCAAAGCAACGATTGACCGGACCCTCTTTACCGTATGTAATGTTGTTCAGGTCTCCCACAGAACCCGAGAAATTGCTTTACGGAATAGAGCTGCGACAACGAATACCCTTTTTTCTTATTTCGCACTACCTAACCTCGTACTCGATTCATCATTCCAGGATACGGTTTTAGTCTCAGCAAGGGACGAAAATTGATGGTGCAACACTCCAAAAAGGCTACAGCTTGAGACATCAGCATTAAAATCGTGTAACCGATATTTCTACGAAGCCGCTAGGCTCGCTGCTGCTACCAGTCATCGAGCCAGCAGGCTCGTGGTGTGTACGTCCCAACAGTATTCCTGTCCATGTTCTTGCAACTCGTGCTCTCTTCTGTCCCAGGTTCACCATGAAGAAGGAGCTGGGCATCTTGCGTTATAGTGTCCTCCCAATGAGCGACGGCTGTCTCTGAGATTCTCGCTTGATCGCCGCCACGCATGGTTCCATGGCTACCCTTTGGACGCGGTGGTTTCTGTCTGGGCGATACTGCTATGTTTCCGCCGGAAACCTTACGGGTACGAGTCAGGACTTCCTGCGGTTGGTCGGTGCGGACTTTCGGTGTAAGATGGACGAGCAAAACCGCGGTTGGTTGTCGACAGCAAGGCCGAGGCATTTGTATGTCGAACATTGTCGTTGTGTGCACAGCATAAAACTTGAAGCGTTTTGACGATATCGGAAGCGATCGCTTGACGCTTCGACCGTTCTGGGTAATTTTAGCATTGGAACGTGCCCATTCGTATGTAAAAGTGGTCTAAGGAAAATGTCGAAATGGGCGTTCGGGGGCACACGCCAGAGTTCGAATAACTTCGACAAATTTAGCTCTCGTCCAAGCTACAGGTACGTACGCCATCCATTCGACAGACCAACACCAATATAATGATTGCCTTATCTGGGGTGATAAGGTGGGCGAAGACAGCCCGAGAGGGGCAGCAATGGAGGGCCAGCTACGCAAAATATAGAAGGTTGGAATAGGGCGAATCTACACCGCACACATAGTCTACGTAAGTACCGTTTTTCTCTCTGCCTACTTCTACATTAACTTTTTTTTCCCTCGCCCTCAGTCGTTCATTTGGATCAGTGAGAAATCGTTGATATATATGCACGGCTCAGGGAACTAAGATGTGCCGGTGAAACGGATCTAAGTATCAGCAATAAATCATCAACACGCGAGAAGGGGTGCACCTCTATGATGCTTTGAACAGCAACTTCCCAGGCCTGGTCGAAGCTCTTATCCTTCCTGTGTGCCTCACAGACTCGCCTCACCTATTGCGGCGGAACAACCAGCGATGAAGTCAATGCCCGTCACGAACAGAGTGGGCGACTACTACTGTAGTTGGGCCTTTTTCTCAGCCGACATGACATTTAACGATGGTCCCCGTCGAACAGATCGCGGCTGAGATCTAAATTGACCAAAACTCTGCATTTATCAGTACACAAAACTCTGCGTTTATCAGTACACCCATCGCATGCCAAGTCATCTCAAAGTCGTCGCACGTTCCCGCACGACGTGAGTCGAACGCTCTGCCCTATGGGCGGGCTTGGCCACTTGTGATCCATGCTTGACCAAGCACTGGAGACCCTACATGTTCCCTAGTGCACGTGCAGTTCAGTCTCGCAACATCAACCCTAAAATATCAAAATATCTCAAGTGATGCTGAAGACCGCTTTTGGTGCTCGGGCTAGCCTTGGGGATTTGATCGGGGACAGGGTGCAGTTAAAAATTCACCTCAAGGCGAATTCGTATGATTGAAAGAGCATGCCAAGGTGCGTGAAGGAAAGGCGAATATATTGAAAGACTGCAAACCCCATGATCTACGTAAGAAAATATCTAAGCAAAACCTGCCAGTGCCCCTACAGCATCCATCATTCGCCCCGATTTTGACCGCCACATCTCTACCCGTCTGAGCCATTCCCTGTACTTGTTATGTTCACGTTAGGATATACCTTCCAACCAGTTTGCTTGACCGACGTTCGCGAAGTTACCCTTGAAACAATTGCGGAGTCCTGTGACAATGACTGTAGTACCTTTCCGTCACCAATGATTTCTGTTTGGCCCTGTATGCCACTCTACTCGTCGCTCACCATTCCATTGCAAGCCAGCTTCGCCCCTCGCGCCGAAGACGCCCACGCCATGCCGTTAACACCATCCGGGTCGTCGCCCAGGTGGCTAGCCGTGCTCGATCCTGCCAAAGCGATAGCTCCCCACGAGGAAGAGGCGGCGCGGCTTCTCGCCTCCGCAAGTCTTTCGAAAGCAGCATCGGTCGAGACCAACGGGTCCCGGTCAGTGCATTCAACCCTCACAAGCGCGGCGCTGGCGGCAGTGTTGTTCGATTCGTTGACCGCCGTGTGTTGCGATCTGACTGTAGGGCCGGATTGTCTTTCTGATGCCGATCGAGTCGACTGCTCGATGATCCCCCCAGAACCAGGCTTATTGTCTCCATTGCTCTGCATTTGTTTGTCTTTCCTTGCTGCAATGACCGTGTTGCCCGCTTCCCCTCGTTCCAAGATCCTTATGGTTGTCTTCTCACAACCCTTCTCGTGCCCGTTACTATTTCGGGAAGGCACGCCCACGTCACTGCCGCCTAATGGTTTGGCATTGTTAGAGCCAGTTCCACAGGGAGGATGAGGTGTAGGCGCCGCTGGGAGTGGCGGTGTCGCCTGGGTGGTCGGTGTGCTGGGAGGAGAATATTGTTGTTGACTAGCAGATGCGTTCGTTAACGGACAATGCTGCTGCTGCTGCTGGGTATACTGTCGGCGATCTCCGGTACAGATGCTCCTCCCGTCACTCGCTGGCCCATGCCCCGGAGAGACCAAGCTAACACAGGGACCTTGGCCCTTCACCCAGGCTCGAAGCGCCGCCTCCGAGGCATTTCTCGTGACGGGGTTCTTCCCGAGGTGAAGAGCGGTGAGGTTAGTCAACATTGGCCGCAAGCGCTCCAGCTGCCTAAGACTGCGGATGTCATTGTCCAGTAGCTGAAGGCACGAGAGGTTCGGAAATGTCTGCGAAGTGGTGGGTTCACAGGATGAGGCAGGGCGGTTCGTGTTGGGAAGCGGGTGGTGCTTTCGTGTGTAGGCTTGTAGTGTTTCGAACGTATATATGTGACGGACTGGGAGAATCGCGTGAAACCCTAAGAGATTACCAGTAGAGAAATCAGGAAACACTCCCTCTACAACGGTAGGTACCAAGAAGCTTCCACGTTTCCATCGGTCGTGCCCGAACTCTGTGTGTTTTACTTCTGAGGACAACCTCGCTCGCCACGGACAATCTTCCAGGACTTCTGCTTCAAAGTGACGCTTTGTTTTGCACGACTTGACGCACCTGTGCTATTGTCGAGGCCTTCCTGGCGACGCTAGTCACATGGACCAGCGAGAACCGAGCCTCTACGACTTGTTCCCTGAGCGAGCACACCTTCCCGTCGCCTAGCCACCGCCACACGTCTCCATACACCTTGAGCGTGATTCCGCCTGCTCCGCCAGGAACACCACCCCCGGATGCAGCAACATCACCTACGCCCATTCTATTGTGCCGCAACCGCTGCTCCAGTTCGAAGTATCCCACTCCGCCAGAAATGCTGCCCCTTCGCCCGGCGTTTCCTGAACGGCGGCCTCCAACCCCTCCACCAGTCCTTGCCACCCCCGCCACTTCACTCCCTGTGTTTGCCGAGGACGATGTGCGTCTGCTTGGAGGGGTAGGGGAGCGTGGGCTTGGGGGCGGGGGCTCCGGCCGTGGCGGAACAGCCCCACCGCCCGTGTTGCTGCTGTCAGCTGGGTTTGGGCCAGTGGGTGCCGAGCACGACGGCGAAGATGCAGGCGGCGGCTTCACGTGGGCGCTGGTCTTTCTGCTGGTGTTGTCTTTGCCCGTGGAGGTAGAGTCCCGAGAGCTGCGATGTCTTGCTCGAGAAGTGATGGAGCCGCCACCGCGCCTCTCCCAGCACTCCCTAAACGAATGGCAGTCGCAACCAAGGACGATCCCGATTGGGGATTTACTGGGTGTAGGGTCTGGGTGGGAGTTGGTACCCCTCCGATAATCGATCGTTCCCGGTATCCCTCGCTATGGAAAGTTTGGTTCGACCTTTGGCGAAGTGGAAAGATTTTCGGAGGGGTCACGATGCGGCAAAAACAAGAACAACTCTGGGGTTGCGCGTCTACAGTACTGCACATTACCGGGCTGCGGCAGAGGCTGCACGCGTCGTGGAAGAGGCTGCACGCGTCGTGGAAAGGTTGGATCCCGATTTCGGAAACAAGTTCAATTGAGCCACCTATCGATGTGAAACTACCGGGAATCATGCCGAAACACACAATAGACTGCAGTTGTTCCGAAGACAAACGCTCGCCTTGCGGCTTCGATGGCCTCCCTCCGCTCCTTGAGCGCCGTCTTTTCCCGCTCGTCTCGGTCCGTCTTGGCTCTTTTCAAAGCCACCGCCTCTCTCGCCTCCGCCGCCCGGCTCATCCCGTTGCCCACAGCCAAAACCACCTCCTTTCTCGCCGCCCTTGTGGAACTATCACCGCCAGTGATGGCGCACTCGCCAGCGGCCATTGTCTGCTGGGAGAGCTGATCGGGTGGCGCAGGGGGTTAGCATACCTCAAAATAAAACGATTTTTGTGATGACGCTCGAACAAACTAGAGGAAACGGAGACAAAACCGTGTCTCAGCGAAACGCCCTCGCTGTAGACGACTTTGCCAACGGCGGGCTTGGCCAAGAAGACAACCAACGCCTAACCCAAAATCGTTGGAATGATTTAGCGGCGAAATAACGGAAAATCTGTTTGAGACGGTCCATGGATGCCATAGGCCGTTCATTGGTGGTATCGTCTCCGCCGTGATTGTATATGAGTTGGGAATGTATGGAGTCAGGTATGGAAAAAAGTGTAAACAAGAATAAATGCCTACGGCAGACTCAATAACAAAGATTTCGGCTCGGAGATATCCTGCCCGTCGTTCTATTCGGCGGTGAGATAATCGAAGGTTGCCGCGGCGGAGTCAAGACACAGAATGTTTCCAGCTCGATCGCTCTGCAAATACAGTCAGTTCAGACTCCATGAAAGGGGCGGGTGCTTCACACAATCTTTTTTCTTAGGGTGAGGCACGGTACACCCCCCCCCCAACGGTGCATGGTTCGTCTCCGGTGCTGTCCTTGTTTTCTACACGCTCGGAGTGTATGCTGGTGGCCATCTGTCGCCACGAGTTCGAGAGTACTTTGCAAACCTGCACGAATACTGTCACCTGTTCCCATGCGCCACCACGCACCCTTCCGTCGCTACCGATAGCACCCTTGTCGGGAGCGGGCGCAGACATCACCGGCCCTGCACGATGAAGCCCCCTCGGGTCATCGCCGCCCCGAGAGTGGTGATGCTGGTGTCGATGTTGTTGTTGCGGGCTTGATAAACTTGAGCCGGGGTGATGTTCCGCGCGTGATTGGGTGTCGGCGCTGCCTTGGCCTAGCAGGACCGGAAATCCGTCGTTGCTTCTTTCATTGCGATTGGTGCCGCTGGTGCTGACACCGTTTCCGCCCGTACGGCTCGTCCCCGACGGCTTTCTGGAGCCTTTGCCCGAATTACCCATCGCCTCGTGAAACGCAGTCCGGCTCCTGCCGTTGTTGCCCCCGCCCCTACTCTCCCGGGCGTCATCGGCTGACGCTGTCCTTGTCGTTGGTGGCGCCAAGTTGCCGTCCGAACCTTGGTGCGAAATGGATTGGCCGTGATCGGTCACCCTTTTGAGGTCTAGGTGGTGCAGGTTCGGCAGGTGCTGCAGAATGTAACTGCGGTAGCTCGAACCGAGACCGTTTTGGCCCGCAACAGGGTTGCCGTAGAGGCTCAGCTCCATCAGAGACCTGAAAGTTTGTTGGGTTGGGGGCTGAGTTACGAGATGTGGAAAATGTTTTTTCCAGTCCCAATCGTAGTTACATTTTGTGTTACCCGTTCAATCCAACCCCATGAAAATGTTCTCGCTTTTCATGAATACAGATGACAAACTAGCAGGATGTGGCTCTGAAGTCCAGTGCAGAGTCGACTCCGGCGCAGACAAAATAAACTGAAGGGAGCAACGGGTTCACGCTTTTGACGAGGTGATGGCTGTCCTACCATACACATTCATGATAATTTCGATACGTGCAGCGCGAAGAGAAAATACAACTAACCCGCAAGTAAACAAGTACCGGGGATAGCTGTGTCGCTGCATACTGTAGAAGCTCAGGGTCCAGCAGATACCCGGTCTGCCAGCGAAACCAATCATGATGCTCGGCATTCGATGCTCTCCGACGTCTTGCCTGGTAGACGTCCTGGTGCCTACCCAGTGGAGCGCTCCAACACTTTTGCTCAGCTATTCCTACAAGACTGAGTTCTACCAGTGGCGTGGAACCATCCGGCTTCTCGGCCGTCGAAAATTCAACGTCTTACTCCTCGGCCGTAGCACGAATCGCCTACAGTATTTGTCACACGTTGTTTGCTTCGGTTCCAGAGGGGCATACAGGGCAGACGCTGACACCGGGTAACAGTACGGCTCTGGTCCGACGACATGCTACGAGAAGTGGTCGTTGTGGCGGATGTTGCCACAAACTGGCGGCCAGGAGCCAACTGCTGGAACGCCGTTGTTGCTACAAAATAATCTTGTTATCCATGAATCCATTCGCCGCCACGGAAATACGAAAACGTATCGCGCAGTACGTAGATCAAACACACCCACACGAAGCCAACTCGAGCGAGATTCCCGAGTGCAAATCCTCACTGACCGAAGCAGAGTATCGTAGGGGTAGGGAGTTGTGGGGTTTTCACCCGTCAGCATGATCGAGGGTACATGTGCTTACCCCACCGAGAAGACACAGGAACAGTCTTCAAAACTGTTGATCCTGTTGTTGCTTAAAAACAGCCGCTGCAGCCTGGGCAAGCCATCAAGTTCCATCACCTTAGTTTGGCCGGGGAGACATGGACGTTCGAAAATGATCGACACGCAATACAACACTGAGTGGCCATACAGTACGGCTGCACAGCACCGAACACTCTCGTCGTCGGCCTCCATCAAAACCCATTTATTCAGCCACGTGAAACTCCGCGGGTGGGTTCTTACTTTCGTCGTAAGACGTCCATGCAAGTTTGAGGCGATCTTGTGTTGATGCACTCTCATGCCATCAACCTTATCGAAGTGACATGGAGACATCGTCAGATGCAACAGCTGTTACTGCAGGCCAGAGTCTGATTCTCCGCATCCAACCAAAGGCGTTGTCTCCATTCCGCTGCTTTAGACTGTACACATGGCCGAGTGAAACTGTGTGTGATGACTAAGGATCAATAAATGCTTTCAGAAACAACCCGTCGTTAGAAAGGCAACACCTTGCTTGAAGCGAAGGCAGTTAGTTGGTCATGACCTACTGGTACGAGAGTCGGGCTTTCGCGGCAACCTAATAGTCATTACAGGTTACTGGCAGCGGATGTTCTTTTCATGTTTGTACAAAGGTGTGCTGCTTGGGCGGATCCTACATAGGTTTAGCGACAAACTGATGAAGCGATGCACACCCAGGGGATTCTATTGTGCAGCCTACCGTAGTTCAGAGAGCAGGGACGACGAACCACCTCTATTTTCGTTTAGGGAATGAAGCACCGGAGACAAGCATACCTTCTCGACGTTGTTTCTCCGGAGATTAAGCTCTGTCAGGGCCGTGAGGCAACTCACGTTCTCCACGACCCTGAAAGGAAGACATTGGGTACGTTGGAACGGTCAATATTTCGCTCAACCATCACATATTGGGAAGGAATAACCCCCTCCCCACACGCTACGGGGGCAGGAACGATCTGCAACAGGAGCGCCGGCGTGATTAACAGCGACACTTCAGTTTCACTCACTTTATTTGGTTGCCGGCGAGGTTGAGCACCCTCAAATCCTGCAGACCGTCAAGCCCAACCATTGTTTGGATGGAGTTAGAGTGTAGATCCAGGACGTCCAGTTTTCGTAGAGAATGTAGATTGGATATCTGCGAACACAACACACCCGACAACAACGTAGCGGTTGGCTGGTCAACGACGAGATAGCCAAGTGATGCTGCTGCTGCTGCTGCTACTCCTGCCCCTGCCTTGCAGGTAAGTGTCGACAAACAGAGGTATGGATACGGAATGAAGCAGAAGCATCTTCCCTGATATTGGGATTGTCGTCGGATGCATCGCACGGGAGGGAGGCACTGGAACGGACGTCAAAGAGGGTCAGCCCTTGGAAACGACATGCTGCCCTGGTCGACGTAGAGGAGAGGTTACGTATATGTACGAGCAATACGTGAAGATCGTCTTCTTCTGGGTGGACGGGCAACAAGCATGATATGGTTGAGACCATGAAATCGTTTTCTCATCTGGAGAGCAGGCAACGAAAAGTAGTCATCATCGCGGTCAATGCCGGGTCGCTGACGCGCAGTGGGTAGCGTGAACAAACGCGAACCAAAATAAACAAAGCGGCAGAAACAGCATGCGCACTCTGGCATGCGAAATAAAAATTAAACATATGACGGTGCCACACCTTCTGGATCTTGTTTTTCCCGACCATCATGACACGGAGGGCAGTCATCGTCGATAGCGGCCCTTCCAGCGTGTCGATGACGTTATTGTACAAGTCGATGAAGATCAGGTTGGGTAGGTTGGCCAGGTTCGTGATCTTGGTGATGAGGTTGTTCTGGTAGTTCAGCAGCCGCAATCGGTTGTCTCCCTGGAACGTTGGTGATGGTCGATCGCGATTCAGTTGCAAACACAGGCGGAGACGGACGGGCGGCGAGGACAGACGTGAGCATTCGTCCAAGAAAGGAGACCAGACGAAACATCTATTGTGGTTCGTATCAATTTCTCTCGAATTTTTCTCTTCTCCGCTGAGTTGTCTCCACTGCAGCCTTCTTCCCTACAATGCATATATAGCTATTGGTTCACGTAGAATTTTGACGGGTGAAGTGACTTTAATCTTTAGCTCAAGGGGGCCAACACCACAACGCATGGCGAATGAAGCCCGACGCGCAGACTGGATTACAGTCTTGCACAGAAGCAAAACACAATCAATACAATGCCGGTCGAAGTCCCCAATTGGAGATGGTTGCTGTATCATCCTCTTGCGCAGAAGGAAAGGGCACAATAGTAAAGACGGTGGCCTACCGTAGTGGTAGGGCACGGGGGTCTCCCTGTAACAAATGGCAGTATTAGTAACGACAATACCAGTCTGATTATGCCGCTACCGCCGTCCCTCCGCCCGTCCTCAGGCCGAGGAACAGCCACGCAAACAGCATTTGTTAAAATGCCAATCGGCAATAGGAGGAATTAGTGATGCACACACAATGTGGCCAATTGCATCCGTCCTCACCATACCGTAACGTGAAGGTCCCAACAACACGCGATCTACATCAATGAGTAGAGAGCCCTGAAGCAATAGAGAGGTACCCAGCATGTGCACTACACCACCTGTATGATGGGGCACGATGTAAGCCACCGCCGGTGCAAGTTCAGCCGCTCCGGGGACCTCTTCTTCGCGTCTTCACTTCTTCGGACCAGCAGAACGCCTCCTTGGAACTCCCTCACTTCGACCCCTCCCTCGGGACCTGGCAAAAGCACACCGTTCTCGCCCCCCACCCCCATCACGCCGGCATCGTCGACGCCTCCCTCCAGTAGTTGGGTGGCCGCTTTGCTGAGCGTGGCACTAGTGGAGCCTGCATCCTGCTGCTCCTGGAGCGACATCCCCACACCGTGACCTTTGGCATCACCGCCTACCGCCGAGGTACCGCAGATAACGTTGTCATTGCCCTCGGGTAGCCGCATCACCGCTTGGTCGGATTCTCGACCGTTTCTATCCCCACCGCCCCCATCTTGTGGAAAAACCCTAACCTTCCTGCTGCTGCTGCTGCTACTGCTGCCGCCTACACACCCTCGCCCGCTCCCGCTCCCGCTCCCGCTCCCGCCGCCGGTAGCACCGCTCGTAGCGGTTTGCCCTCCATGACGAGGGGCACATGCCCCACTGCCGCTGCTGCCGCCACAATGCGGGGGTGCACCCCCGTAGTTTGCAATACCTGTCGCGGAGTTGATGCGGCTTACCCGCGGGCTCGTGTCCGCGCTTGTGTTCTCAGATTGCGACAAGTGAGACAGGAGGCCCACTGCGGCGACGCCTCCCGCCGACCCACTCCTCGAGGAGTTGTTGACGCCGTGTGCGGGATTCGGGGGACTGGCTTGAGGGACCGTAACTCGGCTGACTATTGGTTTGGCGCTAGCTTGCGTCGCAGCCGCTAGTGATCGCGGCGTGAAAGCTTGGTGACCCCCCCCACCCTTACCACTCCCACAGCTAGCACTTCGTTCTCCACTGGTGCCTACCGCTGGGACGACTGCAGGACCGTCGCTGCCAGCATTTCTTCTGTGGTTAGCTCCGTTGGCGGAGGAGGGGATGGGGTGGGCCCGTAACGGTTGTCCCACTCCTCGCTCGCGGTGCTGATGGTGTTTCAAAGAGACCGACCGTGATGACATCTGCGCACCTGCGGTTGTCGAGGCTGATGTGGCGGGTGGTGGGGATGCCCCTGCTACCGTAAGCGCTATTGCGGCTGACGTTGGTTCTATGTCGTCGTCCGCCGAGAGCAGCGGGAAGAACGAAGCCTGTTTTGCGGCGTGGGGATTAGACACAGCACATACGAGGAACCCAACGTCTGGCTGCAGCAACGGTATGTATGAGGCGTCCCAGGGCTTCAGGTCGATGAAACGGAACTCAAAGAATGACAAGACAGATCCCATAAATCGAAACCAACACGCGTGTAAACTCTGTCGGCAGCATGTTGGCGATCCAAGCAGGCACGAAATCGCGGTGTTGACCGGGTCGGGGATCGACTGGATACACTCACATTGTGGGGAAACGCCCGTTGTTCGCTTCCCAGAGGGGGAAGCGTCGACAGACAGCCTAGAACAGTTGCCGAAGAGGTGAAGAAACTTATTTTCTGTCCACGGCAGTAATTCCAAAAATCTCAAGGAAAGGACCTTTCCGCACCCCGCAGTGGCGTACTGTAGTCTGTGTTGAAAGGTGAGGTGTACAGGATGGAGTAAACCGAGACGTTCCCCGAAGGATTCGCTTGGGATACGCAGGACACGTTTGTCACCTACCACCTACCTGCACAGCGTCTTCTTCTGTCCTTGCGCCTCCATTGCCTGCTGCGTTTCTGCCAACCATCGACGACCGCGAGGCTGGATTCCGTGCACTTGACGGTCGTGGTCGAACTCGTCCCCCTCGCCCGATACCCTCCCCCCCGCTGCCACCACCTGCGCCGGTCCCGGAGTGGTGCGACTGCTGGTGTAGTTGCTGCTGTCTTTTGCGGCCGAAGTCTACAAAACACGAAGACATCCGCGGCACACGTAGCAACCACACGAAAACTGTTTCAGTCGGGCAAGCTCGTGGTGATTGCGTCGGCACCATTCTCCTTAGCGGTTGGATTTTGTTGCGGCCACAGCCCGCCAACCGCCAATATATTAGGTGAGCGAAAGGTCCTACAGATACTACGGGCACCGGGTTGATGGAGGCACAATAGTGTGGCTACATCCATCCCGAGTACGATAGAGAAGGGTGCATCGGCCCCTTACGAGACCCATGGGGGGAGCTCACTCTGGTTGTAGCCCCATCCCTCGCTGCCGCCGAAGGCACCGCCCCCTACCGCCGCAGCATGAAAGTTCGGTGGGCGACTAGGCGAGGACGATGCTGACGGATGCTGACTGTACGACCTTGCCTGGACCTTGATCGTCTGCGGCTGCTGCTGCTGCAGCGTCTGTTGTTTCCAGGCGAGCAAGGGCGTGCAATAAGAAGGTGCCCATCAGTTGGAGTTGCCACCTCTACCCTTTCTAGAAATATTCGTCGTGTCGAGAAGAGGGGGTCTTACAATGGCAAGCGCGGTGCATGGGAAGGAACGTTTTTGCCCCCAGGCTGATTCTAAAAATCATTGTGTGCATACCATCAGTTTTTGTTCGCCTCCATGTGTCAATGTACATAAAGGTAGGGTGTCAACCTCCAGTAACTATTCACGATAGAGTTGAAACTGAAGTCGTGCATACTTGGACATTTTGCTTAGCCATGTATATCGGGTAGCGTTCTATACACCTTTGTTCAATGATGAAATCCCTTGAAAATTGAGAGGGAGGTCGGTGCTGAGTAGCGAACGGAGATACAGTAGTAGAGACAATCATCCAGCGAGGCTGAGACAGTCGTGTTTCTTTGCGGATGAGAGCATCTCAAGCACCACAATTGGGCCAAAGAGGTGACGCACACTCTGCGGGTACGAGCGACTGCTGCTGTCACATGATCCTAAATGTTCCTTCTCCGGCATGTACATAGCACAGGCCAGCACGATGTACAGTATGCTGACTATTGTACTGGCTACTGTAGCAACGGCGGGGTGGGACCCTTCGTGGTCTGTATGCATATCACAGGCGCAATTGCACTACAGTACTGTAGTGTACAACGTGTTGTACAGTGGTGCTGCATTCTTCCTTCATAGCATGTGACTGCGACAGTAGAATGCGGTTCCGTCATCCGAGTACGCATCCTGACACAACATGTACAGAATGTACGTAGTCGCTTCACGATCATGTGTGCGCATATGCGTATGTGCTGGTGTACATGTGTAGACTAACCCTAGTGCGAAAATGTACTTGATCCTGGTGAACGGCCGTTCGAGGGAGACCTGTGTCTCAGAGGAGCGTGGTGAGCACAAATGCCCCCCACGGTCGGTCGTCTACGGTAGTTAGCAAACCTTGGGCCCCGCAGTCGTCTGAGGCTCCATAAAAGATGATTGTGGTAGCACTCCACGCTCTCCATGCTCCACCTTCACTTGCGCTTGACCCAGGAAGTGTTCCGCCGCATTTTGGTGAGAGTGGCAATATTGCTGGTGCTGTTTCGAGCTCCCGAGTTTCCAATCCAGTTTGCTGGGTTGGTTCAATGTACTGCTGCCGCCCTGCCGTTGCCGATGAACAGACCCGCCCTTCAAGAAGTGCCCCCGACTATGGATGAGTTCCATAGATGGCTGCCTTGTGTCTTCGGGGGCTATCTCTCAGTCGCAGGCAGTGGGGGCCGACGGCCGCGCCGCACCGAACAAAAAAGTGACGGTTACATTTACTGATGCCACCCCCGTCACAACTTGAAAACGAGCGCCAGGCCAAAGATATTACTGGATCCAACTTGGCGGTAGCGCTCGAGGGAACGTGGGTGGACTTGGCAAGACCCCTACGGAGAGGACAATGGTGACAATAGCAGCAACAGCCCACGAGAAAGAGCTCCGAGGATCTGGTGCACGAGAGTCAGGAGCAGGGGGGTATTATGAAGAAGACGGCAATACAAATCCACCGAAGAAAACTGAGGAGGAGGACGACCCTGACGCCCCGCCGCCCACGCCAGAGCAGATCAGGCTACAGTGGTATGTACTTGGTCGTCTGGTACCGGTGTTCGTAAAAGTTTATCTGTCTGGCGTACCTACCATGTGCGCCGTGCGTTCACATGTGACGGTGGCGCATGAGGAAAACAGTTCTGTGGGGACGTACATTCCGCGGTGCCCCGTCGTGTGGCTGCGTGTGGTCGAGGATGCACCCTTTAGTATGCGTGTGGTAGCAGGCCGACCCATTCATTTAGTGCTTATCACTCAGGTTAATATTTTTGTGTGCTACAGTCTTCGGAGACACGGGTATGCACTCTTCGTGGACGCCAACTGGACCGCGTTTAATGCTCCACGCTGGAATTGGACCGGCGAAAAAATTGCACCATTTCGCCTGCATGACAATACCCATTCCCCAATGCGACATACACTCAATTCTCCGTCATTGAGACTGGGGATCGATCAAACCGTGGAATATTAGACATGCTACCGCAGTGTATTTTCAATGCCTTTGGGTGCAGCATCCACGCGGCCGGTGTCATATGCCCTTGTCAAACAACAACCAGGTTCCACCAGAAAAAAAAACGCAACATCTACGTGTAATATAGGGTATCCACTATGGATTGACGCCGAATTTCGACCTTTGAGGATTGACGCCAACATAAAGTAACGGCTGAGGGTTTTGACGGGAAACAATTCGCACCGCGTGTGCCCGTTGGCACGTGGGAGGGAAAAAAAAAATGGTGGTGTAGAGTTGACGAGTTAACACCGGTCATGTTCACGACCCCGGGTTGGTTCGGGATGCCACCCAGGGTCGACATGCTGAAGCGAAGACTCACACCCACTCCCAGGCTCCCAGGAGACTAGGTGTGCCCCTCCGCCTCATCCCGCCGACCTTCCCTCTTCTGCCGCGGCGACTTCCCAGGCGTCAAACTGCCGTTGCTGATGAGTGAGGCAGCTGCTCGCTGTACTGCTGTGTACCGATGTCACTGCGGCAGCAGAGCACCGAACCCCGTGAGGGGGCGGGCGAAATGCACCTACTGACTGGCCAAGTCCGTGTACCCTCCCTTAATCCTCTATATGTGCTCCCTTCGAGGGCGGGACTCCCCCGATTACTGCCGATGCCCCTTTTTGCTGCTGAAAGCCCGTGCGCAATCACGATGGCTCATCTACCGAACGCGCGCGCCGAACACGCGAGTCCGGCCACTGGGCCGCCGTGAGAACTGCCGAGACGTGTGTGTGCAGGACCGCTAGGAGCAATCAGTAGGCATGGCAAATATGTTCGCTGCTGACCGCGCTCCTTTCGCGATTTGGTGATGGTAACAGAGCACAGAGCAAGGGTGTGTGAGCCACAGTCTGGCGATATTTGAAGTGCCAATCTCTTCGCGTCGGTTTAAGTTTTGACGCTTTTTCACAAAAATTTCGCCGTCAGAGTTTGCCTCCAAAAACGCGGCGTAACCTCGTTACGTCAAAACTCCCTGAAATGTCAATCTTTCACGTCATTTCAACAACACGTGGATTCCCTCTAATGTACAATCTCGAAAAAAATCTTTCAAATATCGTGCGCCCACCAACGAATGGAATATTCAAGGGGGGACAATGCTAATGTTATCACACGCTCGTGGACAATGTTTGTTCAGCTATGACAGGATGCTTGGCCGAGCCGGCTATTTGCCGGCCAAGCACCTGGGTCACATTTCTAAGATCCAAAAAAAGGAAGGGGCGGACTCCATGAAGCTCGGGGCGGTGTCCGGGCAGCAATATAAGGCGATATTCAAGGCCAGGGCTTTCGACCAGTACTTTTTCCAGATTCCCCCAAAGAAAAGGTGAGTGGTGGGTGTGAGTTCCTTGGGGGCAACGGACACGGTAGGAGTGGGCTGGCAGGAAAAGCATTCGTACGTACGTAGAACCCGGTGTGTTGCCATCCGCCTGGTACACTTCGTCATAATGCTGCTTGAAATTTGGTTACAGTCCTGCGTAACGGCTCTGATCTGTTGAAGAAGCTGCCGTGAATGATAGAGCATGCTTCTCTACAAAAAGTTGGACGCGTTTCCTTCCCCTAGCGCGAAAGGCCGCAGCTCCTTCAGACGTGGTTCACGATGCACACTGGTTGATTCATCTCTCTTCCGCCATGCTTGCCATCGTCGGGCAAGATAATGGTTTGAAGGGCATATCGTGGTCGTGAATGCTTCGGGCCACTTCCCGATAGATTTGAATAAAACGCAACGCTCCGGCGAAGCTGCGTTGTAACAACCAACTGAAAGCTCGATCCGGACTTGAAACACCCGCTTTCCAGGCACTTTGCCACGTTTTCCCCGCGGGTTCCTTGACGGACCAACGGCAAGCGCAGCGTGCTCGACGGATGTTATTTTACCCATGCGTGGTGGTGAGGAGGCCCTGGAGACAACTCTCATCGAAACGCGTTCAAAAGGAGAACCCCCACTGTTGTTGCTGGAAAACGTTGCAAACGCAGTACGCTGGACATGATGTCGGAGGTTGCGCGGAAAATCTTGTCCAAAGACCCGGCAGCCGAAGCTCAGAGGAAGAAAGACGTCGAGGAGGCACAAGTAGCGGGAGGGCAGTACCACGGCAAAACCAAGCAGAAGAACCCGAACGTGAGGATAGCTGCACGTGATGCTGACGCTTGTCTTCCTCTGTGGGTACAATGGGTGTTGCGTGATAGAGCGGTAACGGCAGTAGTCACCGTCAATCGTGACTCGTCGTTCTCGTCTGACCCGAGGGCTTGGACGATTTCATCTAGAAATCTTCAAGCGAAACGGCACGTCGTCCTGGGATCGACGAGGGCCAAAACCTCCAGGGTTCTGTCCATGGACGAAAGGTGCGAGGGTGGACCATAATTTGGAGAAGGAAGGAATGTGGAATCTCCCGATAATTCGTTTCGATCATCACCGGTCGGAAACCAAACAACGCAACCGAAAACACAAGAACAGTGGCAACATCGCACGGGCTGCTCAATCCGGGTCCGTCCGCCTCGTTGGGCCTGACACATACCAAGAGGCCACCGAACGGTACGGAGAGACTGGCTTCGCGGCGATGCGTTCTTCGCAGGAGCACCCTTTGATTTGAAGAATCTGAAGTACGGCTGCAGCGTTGATCCAGTGCATATATTGTTGCTTCAGCGCTGCCAAACCTTGTTGCGTACTCGGAACCGTATCATGTAGACTGTAGGGGCATTGTGCTGAGGGGCATGGATCTCAACTACCCGTTTTCCCAGGTGTGGTGTAGTCGCTGCTTGGTGCAAACGAGCTCAAGGCCGTTCTAATATTGATTTTCGGACTGAGAAAAAGGTTCTTCTCCGACGGCCCCAACTCAACCCACACACCTGCAGGAGGATGCAAAGATTCGGCGAATTGGGTTCAAGGATACGTTGTTCGGACCACCCGGGCTGGCCCCGCCGCAGCACCAAATTCTCAACAGCGAAGGAAGACACAAGTACTTCAGGTCTGACGGAAACAACAAATAATCGAGGGCCTACAAGGCTGAAGACGTCGCGTCAGACCCAGGCTCAATTTCGCCCTTCGTCGAGACCGTCGACCGTGGGTTATTATTAGGTAGAGTCATGGCAAGATTTCACCGCCGAGATGTTTCAAGGCGATCAGCCTCTATTCCTGAACGAAACGTTTCGTAGTTGCGGGTCGTCACTGCAGCGGCTAGGATCCAAGACTTGAAGGAAGGAAACATGGTCGATGTTCCTAACGCCCGAGAGGCAACGAGTCGCTGCCCCTGCGAAACGGCTCTGTGGAATCAGCTGCTTCAACTTTCGTCACAGTTTACAGTTCTAGTGTCTCACATATTTTGACAGCTACGACGGAGACTGGGAGAACGGAAACATGAACGGCTTCGGCACGTACCGCTTCGCGGACGGTGCGACGTACGAGGGTATCATGAGGAATAGCTGGCCCAATGGAGAGGGGACGTCCCGCTACGCCAACGGTGGCGTGTACGTTGGGCGGTGGAAGGATGGGAAGCATGAGGTGAATGGGCAGCAGCATGCCGCTTATACAGTGCTAACTGTACTCGGTGACGTCCGTCACGTGAGCGGCCGGTTGAAGGAACCCTAGGACGAAGATTAATAGTAACCCTCTTCTCTCCATCCCTCATTCTCTCTCTGTCTCTGCCTCTCTCTCTCTCTCTGTCTCTCTCTGTCTCTTCTCTCTGTCTCTCTCTTTCTGTACGTCGTGATGCATAACTTGAAAGTTAACTCACTTACGCCCCAATGAAACCACGTTGGTCCAGTGGAACTGACTCCCAGTTCTCAAGGAGGTGGTGATCACTCAGCTGAAACCACCTTTGCTATATACGATGCGGTGCTGGTTGAATGGGAGACAACGCTTCGCCTACTGTAGTATTAATCTTGTGACAGCACTCTCGCCCTGTCGCCGAGGTTTGACAAAACGAAGTTATTCGTCCGGATCCGGGCTGATGTATTTTATCTATTTTTCTCGCTCGATGTGGTAAATATCTCCCCCTGTGTCAGGGCTACGGTGTCTTCACCTACCCTACGGGTACTGTATACGAGGGAACATGGCACGAGGGGAAGCGCTCGGGGAAAGGAATGCTGAAGCACAAGGTGAAGACACATCAGGCATTGTGATTGAATTTTGTAGCACGGTGTGGTGAAGCAACGTGTTCATGACAAGTCCATCAAAGCACTGAAAATCCAAGCACTACAATATGTTGTACCGCAATAGGAATTTCCGAAACAAGCCGCCACATGAACCGGTGGGAAGATAGTGGGTTGTAGTACTGTTTCGCACGAAACTCTCCTGCGTGCAGGGTGTTGCCCCCTTGAATGCTGGTCGAACATGGAGGAGGCTCCCAACGTCAAATTACACAGAAAGAGAGCTGCATAACGAAGGTTGGAAGCTCAGGGTTGCAATCGCGCAATGGGTTTTGTCCGCGAACGTCTTGGAGCCTACGCACAGGGCACGGTATCGCGTACAACACCGCAATTAAGCATGGAAACATACAGCAATCTCTCCCTACCGCAGTTTGTGTCGGCCAATCTCTTGGTTCACCTCATGTATTTTCCCCTCTCGCTTCTTGGAGACCCTAACCACTCAATAGGTATTACGCCACGTTAGCTACAACATTGGACAACCATGATTGACGCCACAAATGGTTACTTGTCTGTGTCGTGTACCACCACAAGAGCGGCAGCAGGTACGAGGGAGATTTCTTCTTGGGGCAGTTTCATGGGCGAGGACGTTTCGAGTCTGCCAATTTGAAGGTAAACGAAAGGGGTGGTCGGGTGTCCTGGATGGGCATATCACATTTGGTTTCATTTCCTTCAGTTGCATGCATCACTTATTTTTCCTGTGCTTGGTGCTACCCAACGAACATTTGTGGCTCGGAACTGCAAGCCCCGACACCTAACACTCTAGTCGTCGCATGTGCCAGCTCGTGGGTCGGAATCAAGCACAATACACCCGTGGTTTATCGTTCACTTTACCCGAAGGGGAAAGGTTAGGGCAACAGATGCGTAGCCCACATTGTTTGTTTGGCCCGCACCACGCCACTTGCCGTGCGATTACGGGCCGCAGGTGACGTACGAGGGTTGGTGGGTAGATGGTTTCATTCGTGGTCATGGAACACTCACGATGCCGGACGGGACAAAGCTGGTTCGATCTTGGCCAGCACAAAGTCGGTGAGACAGTCTCCAATGCCTTCAGGGCTTCTGAAGGATATATTCTCGCCAGTCTCTTGCACTGTCAGGCACGGCCCAAGAGGGGGATCCTGAGGTGTTACAAGAAAACTTGTTAGATTGGTTAAATGCAAACCACTTCGACCAGTCACCTTCCACGAACTCCACTCGAACCTGTGCGTCGTACATGGATGCGCCTTTGATGAGGGCTGAAAGAGTGGCAGAGGTTCTACAAAACAATTTCACCTACCGTGGTGCTGGTCGGGCGATCAGCGTCGTAGTTTCCTCAAGCTCTCGGCAGTCGGTATGATGGCCATTGACCCACCGTACTCAGGGCCTGGCTTCGATCAGAGCTGTCTCTTCAACGTGTCTTGTGACTGCAATATTTCTATCTAGAGTAGTTTGCTCGGTTTCATTCGTTCAACAGCAACGAGAGAGGCTCTTCTGTATGACCACGGGTTGGAATAAACGGCACTAGTGCTGTGAGCGCTGATTTGAAGTGAAGAACAAAAAAAAAAAAAAAAACGTCGACCTTCACGTATTTCACCTCGGATCCAAAGTACTTTCGTAAAACACTCCAAGCAGGTTCGGTGGAGGATTGTCCTTGCGAGGGGCATTGGAGCTAGTTCTGTACGAGAGAGAGCAAGCTCGCCTGGACAAACTCGACGAAAGACAGGTATGTATCGTGACGGGTGGGCCGTTCCCAAGAACAGTATGCGTGTTCTTCATTATTGTAAATGTTTAGATATTTTATGGAGTGGCGCGTCTCCTCGAAGAACGTGTGTCTTGCACTATCCCCCACCCCATTGCTTCTCCGTTTGGTTCCTTCGGGAAGTTTGGACTGGGCAAAAACACGCATGCATGTACCCCCTTTCATGTATATCCGCGCTTTCGGTGATCGTCGGGGTTGATCGCGTAGGCGCTTTACGGCGTGTCTGACCTGGCGGAGCTGCAGTTCCGTGTGAATAATGTCCGAAGAGAGATCGCAGAGAGAAGAGCACTCAACAAGGCGAACGAGAAGGCGGAAACGATGGCGAAACGGAAGGCGGTGAGTCAGAAGTCCAGCAGGGACAGTCCCCATCGCCAAAGAAGCCGAGAAGACTAGTGAAACCGCCTGGCAGGACGTGTGTCTCTCCTCATCGGTTAGGGTTAGCCAGGCAGGCTCCTCCTGAGCACTATTCAGGAAAAAAATCAGCCAAAATTATGTACATAACCACAAGCCATGCCCAATCCTCAGCCCATTCCGCAAATACGTGTATATGGAGAGCTAGAATTTGCTTCCAACAACCATATGAAACCCTCTGCAGACTATAGTGTCAGGCCGCGAGTGCCAAACCTGCATTTATGCAATATGACGCCAAATCAGTCCGGGCGCCATCACCGGCCCGTCAAAGTATCGACGGAAGAGCAGCTATTTGGCGACGAAACATCGAGACCCGCCCCCCTTGCCAAACATTACGATGAACTACTAGTCCCTACGACGCGGGGTGTCAAAAATTGAGGGCATGCACTGATAGCCACTGTGGGCATGATCAGGCATGGTATATATTTCTTTATCCACGTACCACGCACCTTTGCGTGCTACATGGTATGCCCCCAGTCAAGAGAAACTGCAACAAATCAAGCAAGCTGGAACCAATCAAGCCGGTTCCATCTTTCCGCGGCGAAGGAATTTTTCAGTAGCATGACCAACTGCCAACATCAAGCATTGCAGTAGGTTGCCCCCCGCGATGTGTGCCATTTCCCTTCGGGGATCCATAAACAAGGACGACGAATGTGCGATTAAAGCTGTGTCCCCCATGGCGTACCGTCCCTCTTTCTGTTGGCGTTGCAGGCGAAGCTAGCCATGATGGAGAGAAAACTCAATGAGCTGCTTCAGGAGGAAAAAGAGGCCGAACCGGACGATATCGAGAAGTTTATGATGTAGACTGCCGTCACCCCGGGGATAGCTTTGCGAGGCGCGCAGGAACATACATGTGTGGGGCTTGGAGCCTTGTGGCACGTGGGCGCGAATGCCTTCCCAGTGGGCTCAAGACCAGCACAGTGGGGTCATCATATCTACCTCTTGCATGGCCCTTCGGGAGACCGACACAAGAAGTTGTGTACTTTGGTACTTGAAAAATACAGGAGCATCAGAAATTTTATCTGACGGTTGGTCCGAGTGCTATTCCATGAAACGGTCGGCAGTCACGCCAGTCGTCGTTGCAAACCCATGATCTACGTAAAACGGTGCGAGTTTTGAAGCTATGGGGGGGGGGCACAATTTCTAACTTACACAAGTACCGAAGTGCATCGGTCACCTCGCGGAATGGCCGTCAGAGTTGCTTCGTGGCTGTTCATCGCCTGCACAGTGTTCAATTCTGAAGAATTGGAGCAAGAGAGGTTGGGTAGCCTAGGGTGGTCCCGAGAGCAACAATGCCTTCGCTCGTGGCGGGAGGTGGACCTGCATCTACAATTGAAGCGGTTGGTGAGGGACAAGGTAATATGTAGCTTTGCTCTTCAAGGTGATTCATTACCAATACAAACGCCAATAATTCTGTACACCTCTTTTCGCCCGCAAGCACCATGCAATCTCTCCCCTGTGAACCTCACCGTACGTTCAAATTCCATTCCCGTCGAACAAACAGGACCAACGCATATGTTATACAGTGCCTGACACACCCACCAATCAACAACGTCGGGTCCAACCAGCTACTGAATCAAAGGATCTGCCGCCGCACAAGTGGCAGGGATACTGCTGTAGGGGACTACTCCCTGGTGTCCCCTCCACTTGCACCAAAGGATCCCAAGGGTGGCAGTCAGTCGCGGGGTTGGAAGTTCACCTCGATCCACTTCGATCCACGCCGGATATTCGCCTTTCTGAAGTACCGTGACTCTGGAACTAGACGGGGTGCACCTTTTCTGAAGCCTAGCCGTCGCAACACACAACACGACAAACTGCCTCACACATTAGTAGTAGGGTGCTTGGCGATGATGGAGCACTAGACACACTTCTACTCCATCAAAGATACGTTCTTCGCCCTAGTTTCAATCTACCGCATCCAATCTACCGCATCCCCGAGGCTGAAGAATCGGCACTGTCTGCGACGGCGACGTTAGCAGAGGTGGGGGCACCTGTCCCGTGCCCCCTTTTCCTGTTCGATCCCGTGCTCTCTAGCTTGAATCCCTTGCTGGCAAGGGTGAGCTTGGTGTCGTGGAAGGGGACGAGGCTCGGCCTGTGCCCCACGCTGACTACGGACAAGCCAGGAAGGGTGTCGAGAAGAGCGAACATTCGTTCCTCGTTCGCAAGGTCCTGGAAATGTTGATCAACGCAGCACGAGAGGCGCCATAACATTGAGTTGGGTCGTGTCCACAACAGGAACGATAAGCTGCCTTCGCATCGGGTTCATGCATAAGGGAAACGCGATGGAGAAACGCGTTCACGGTGTTCTGAGAATCGCTGTGAGGAGCTCTGCTCCTGGAATTGAAACAGTTTCGACGGAAAGAACATGTGACGTTGTTCCTACCATTAATTCCCAGAGATCACACGAGATGAGAGAGAGGACAGGCTCACCGTGGAAGCACTTGAACAACAATCCCTAACCGGATGACTCGGACACGGAACTCAAAAACTTTGAAATTTCCTCATTGTCACAAGACACGTCAACATTTCATTCTAAGTCACATGAAACAAACCGATTTATGCCGGCAATACAATCTCACGAGAGCGGAGGTAGACTCATCCAATATAGCCAGCGTGGGCTTGTTGTACAAGAGCCTGGCAAACGCCAACCGCTGCTGCTCCCCCAGAGAGAGCATGTCCGACCAGTCTCGCACCGCTCCAAGACCGGCGTGGGCGTCACCGCTCCCCATCATCACCGCAAGCCTTCCGAGGTCCACCTGAGGCATCCACAAGACAAGACAAGACAAGCAGGGGAGAGAGGGGGGGGGGGGGATTCAACGACGAAGTGAGTAGGCTTCCCTATACACCAACCAATTATCACACTCCACACAAGTCAGTCGGCGAAGCTGCGTGCTGACCAGACTCACAACCAAACCCACAAGCAAGAGCTGTCGCCACAAGCCCAAAAACAAATCGAGCAGCAAATTCGCAGCCAAAAGAAACATTCCGTGGCACCTTCTCTAAAAGGTCGAGGAGCTCGTCGTCATCCGCAACCGACCCTCCTTCCGTCGTGCCCTCTACCGCTTCCGCATCACCGTCCTCTCCCGCCGCCTCCGCTCCACCGTGGCTCGATGGATACGTGATCTGGTCTCTCAACGGGCCGAGTGTACAGTACGGCCTCTGCGGAAGGAAGAACATCTCCTCCTTCGTTGGACGGACGATCTTCCCCGAACCTTTTTTGCCAAGCGCGCGACGGAGAGTGGGACTCTCACTTCAACCGGCCCGCGAAAAGGAGCCCGAGAGGGTCTAAACGCGCCTCACAGGTCAAAGAACAGTATACAGAGTTACACGCTGGAAGCAGCGAGTGTGCAAAGTGTTCGACGTCGAAAGGTGATTTTGGCGGCATGGGGGGTCCGGTGGATGGTTGAAAGTGATGGCGAGGGATACGTCAGCATAGAGAAACGCATACCTCAACTAATGAGGCGCCACGACTACAACAACGACAGAAACCTTGGTTTAAATGCGGCAACGATAGCTCCATGGTCAATGCACAATCACGGTGGGGAAGTTGGCACTGTACCTGTTGTCCAAAGGCCGGCCATTGCACGAAGCAAGCTCGACTTCCCTGCGCCTGACTCCCCAACGATCAGCATGCGCTCTGAGTCGTCGAGCCTGAAGGACAATCCACTCATTAGCACGCGGCCTCCTGGCAGACGAAAGAGTGGACGTGAATATCACATGAAGCTGAAACATTCAGTTCATCAATGTTCGGCCAGCTGGAAAGAACGAGAAATCCGCTTTAGAACCAAACATGTAGATTTGGATTTTCACTACATGTAGCACCGAACCGTGTTCGAGAAAGAGCAAGATAGATACAACAAGTTAGACAAAGGTCACTGAGTGGAAGAGCAAGCACCCTCATTGAGAAGGACTAGAAACCTACCTTGGCACTGTACGGTGGAGTAAGTATTGCCTCAACTCCAAGGATTCGAAGAAGAAAACACGCGAACATTGGCGGTCAGCCTCGAACGAACACGTGAAAGGCACCGTTTTCCCAATCCTATTACTGGCGAAGGGGTTGAAGCAAAACTCAAGCGGGCATCGCCCCCTTCTACGTACCCACAGAGGAATATACATCAAAACATCAGCATGCCCATGTTCGAGACAACATGACGCGCTCTCTCGTTCTTCGGTTCTCCAATTCAAAATAGAGTTAGCAACTTGAAAGTACACGGTCGATGTCAGAAAAACTCCCCTCTATACTCCAGGGACGGGAATCCAGCCACATGGCCACACACGAGGACCGTACGTGTCAAATAGAGGGGACAGAGCAAAACAATACAGTTCACACCAAGTGCTGGTTACGCCATGAGCGTTTACTGTTGGGGTGGCGGATATCCTAATGTCCGTAATCAGTCGCGAAAAGAAGCTGTACTATCGAAACAACACAGCCCAAACTGGATGCATATATACAAGGCAAGACACGCCACGGTGCCAGTTTTTCACATCGCGTACAGCCGCAAGATGCGAACCCCTGGCATTCCTGACCTGTGGGTGTTACTACGGACACGTCCTCCACAGCCAGTCTCGCACCCTTCGCAGTCTCCGTCGTCAATACCCCCACCCCTTCCCCTTCCTTGGGGCCATCGTCCTGCTCCGGTTGGTCATCCCCGAGCAAGTTGTCTTTAAGCGGGCTGTCCAGGGCGGTGTGGCCAGGCACAGACGATGGGCTGGACGAAGGTGACGAAGACGTCGACGCTGGCGCAGCTAGAAGGCCTCGCTTGTTGTCGGTGACGTTCGCGATGGTTGCTGGTAGAGGTTTATGAACAGGGATTGGTAGGAGTCGGAGTGGGGTGAAGAGGCATGGTCTAGATCGTGCACCACAATGTTTCATGTGGCACAGAACCCCGCGCACGACCACTCGTTCACTCATTCATGATTTAATTCATTCACTATTCACAATTCACTCATTCACGTACCCATTCATCCATTTACTCAGTCATGTACCAATTCACCCACCCATTCCTCCCTTCACTTGTTCACTCTCTCGTTATATAGACAGCAGGACAATTCACGCACCAACACTTCACCAAACCCTGACGACTCCGGGCAAGCAGTCACAAAGCCAACACGCTATATATACAACACAAGATGAACCGTCCTGATTACACTGCAGCAAGTCCTTATATTGGTCGCCCTCGACCGAGATCGGGGATGTCGCTTGAAGAAACGCGCCGTATCGTGAACCCCCTGCACCCGTGCGACAAGCCCTGCGTACCAGTTCTTCCGCTATTCCAAATAGTGTGCCTTCCATTCGATGAGCTCGTTAGAATGGCATTTTCTGCTGTTAAATAAGACGGTTACAGCACTCACCCATGCCCCTCATCCTCTCTAAGAACTCCCCGAGGCGGTCGATGCCGGCAGAGAAGGCACTCAAGGACTCGAATTGGTTGACAATCAAGGAAAGGTCGCCGAGGATGTGGTTGAAGGCACCGTACGATTGGCTGACCTGGTGAATAAAAAAGGTAGCAATCGTTGAGGAAAAAGGAGGGTTGTCTGGGGGTGATAGAACAGCAGCAGAAAACACCATCCGCCCTTGTCAGTGCCCAGCCACGTTTTGTTTGTGTAGGTTTGAGGCCGTGTACCCTGTGACTCGCTCGTGTCGGCAACAACATTGCAGGTCACACGCGAAAGCCGGAGGATGGGGTAGACGGAGGACCCTTCGAGATGGTACCCCAAATATCGTGCACAGTATAGATATGTGCGACAGGTCGGAATAATTGAAATTGGCTGCCATGCGATTAGGTCACAGACCTGGTGCAAACTGCGGTGGTGATCGGGTGATTGGGTGAGTGAATATAGAGGCTACGCCTGACGACGACGCGAAGGGTTTTTAACCTGCGGCACGAATCTGAACGGTCCATGCCAGCAATGCAGGCCAAGTTGGTATTTACCTCGGTAAAGATACCACAAACGGCAGCAGTACATGTAGAAGCAATCCACGATACGACCGGCCTACATGCGCCGTCGTGCATTGAAAAACCTTCCCCTTTTCGGTGCAAATGACTTGACTGGCAGCATACTCGACGACTCGCTCACCACTCCGAGCTCGATCTTCCCTTGAAAGAAGAGCGGCGCCACCACGAAGCCTGGGAGGACCTGACCGATCCCGACGGAAACACAAAAGCACCGGGAGTTAGCGCTATGTCGCTACTGTTGCCTTATACCCCCACAGCACAAGGGTGAATGATACGGGGCCTCGACCGTTTCTGGACGATTCGGGACTACTCTTCACAAACCAATTGGAGAGACGCTATTGGACAATGAACGACGGGCACATAACTGCGACTTGACTGAAGCAACCAAGTCGACGAAAGGACAACGGCACATGTTCACTCCAGTGAGAGCACTATCCGAACTTACGGGAGGGATTTAACGCTGGCGTCACGCGGAGCACATAGACATTCCATCGTGCAACGTGCGGTCAATGGTGCTGTCCAGACGATAAATATTCCCGTGAAGGGCCTCGCATCGGAGTTGGGCGATCGAAACTCGCCCGGCCAGAATCGCGGAAATCTCGAAACCCATGAATTTTTCGGGCTCAGCCAACACAACATGTTCGATGTAACAAATCCTATCGAGAGCTTTGTTTGCCTGAATCGAGTACAGAGGCCTGAGGCTATAAAGACCACGTGCCTGGAATCCGGAAAGACATGCGTTCTTGGATATAGTATCACCCAATCATCGCCAATCATCACGTCAATCAACCGGTTGACAGGCGAAAATACACTTCGGCGTGATGAAAAGGTGTGTGAACACATGTGATAGTCCACCACACCTGGATGAGATACCGATAGCCGGTGGTGAAGAACTCCAGGTTCCGCTGCGCGCGAATGACCTGGCCAAAGTTGTCCAAAGCCTTGCCGAAGCGCCGCTGGACCTCGTTCAACTCCTGCTGCACGCCCCCGTAGAAGGCAATTGACTCGGCATTCTCCCGCACGCGAATTAACGAGTACCTGTCCAGGAGGGTGGATTTGGGGGGGGGGGGGGGGTCCTGGTGGATGAGGTCGTAGTCGTGAGGAATTATGCATTCCCCCCTGTGCCATGCACAGCAGATAACTCGCAATTTCAGAGGGTGCCGAATTTTAGGATGGGGAAAACATTATCGGATGGGGAAAACTGGGACCGAGCGGCGGTGCTACAGCTGGGGCATGGCGCTTTCGGACGGAACACACGTTGTTGAATCTACGCTACTTCGCTCGTAACGAAAACCGCTGATTGGCGGTGGGATAGGGAAACAAGTGCTGATAGGCTTCAGCGACCTAGCGCACTAGACAGCACAGTTCGTCCTTGAGGTTCGAAGAAGCAACCTCGCCAGGACGAGTTCGAGATTGCATGTGGGTATCTCCTGCCCATGAAACTCCCGATAACAAGCGCCGCAACAGGCCCAACATCTATCCCGTACCTACAGTCCGCCTACACCTGCAAGTAGCCGCGCATCTCTGGTACCCACCAATGTATAATGTGGAAACGGCGAGAGGAAGAGGAAGTTCGTCGAGGGGTTACAGGAAAGCGACCACACGACAACTCACCGGAAATCTGCCTCTGTCTGGAGCTGATCGAAGTTGAGCCCCACCAGCTTGCCGCCTAGCTTGGTGGTGACGAAGGTCCCCACGGACGCGTAGCCGATGATAGCGATGAACAGCTGCGGGTAGATACTACGCACGAGACAGCAGTCACCACATGGAGGGGGGCTCGCTTATGTGCCATTGATAGGAAGAGGTTGTGACAGACAAGAGACGGAAAGTAGATGTCGGAAAATATCCCCGGTGTACGGTGACAACTTCGACATGCCTACTGTAGCTGGGGTAATGTACAGCTCGAACGTCGGGGCGAACTAGATGCGTTGTGATAAAATTTTCTCCAGCGCATGAGAATATCACAAATCCCACACACCACTCAATTTAGACGCAAGACAAAGGCTCCGAGCGTAGCAGAAAGGGCACACCGCCATGTGAACCAAAACAAAACGGCACCAAAAAGCATGTTTTATTGTTATCACTTACGAGTAGAGGATGGTCGAGAAGGAGGCGAGGTCGATGCAAGATGTTAGCACCGTGATGAGGAACTCCAGCGACACTTGTGTGAACGCCCGCACGTCCTCGGCAATCCTCTGATCGGGATTATCGATCTCCTTCGAGGCCTCCAGGGCGTAGTATGTCTGCCCGCTGTAGTAAATCTGCCATCCCAGAGAGGAAAACGCGGTGGAGTGACTGAGTAGTGGGGAAAACAAACAACCTTGTACTTATACAGAGTCGTCCAACGGAGAAGCGCAATCCTTACAAGGTGAAAAGGCAAAATGTTGTCGTTGTTCGGTATGTCTAGCAGTTATCATGGAACACGCCATCCACACCAACATTCAACGTTCTGACTTCCTCCACACTAGCAAACAATTCAACCACGTCAAGCCTCGGGACCCTTGGCGGACACCTTCGGGAAAGCGAGGATACCAGCTAGGAGGCTATGTGGCCTCCTACCACTATGATGTAGCCCAAGGGTTGAATCACTAAGCGAACTGACTCTGGTGGGGACGGAACGCCCGGAGACTCTTTCGGCATCCTTTCCAGGTGTACCGATTAATCTCACCTCCATAACTCGCTTCGTCATCCACTCTCGCCACGCTAGCGCCAGTTTTTCCCTCTCAAAGCGGTAGAACACCGTCACAGGCACGCCGGCTATCAACGCCGAAAGAAACCTTGAGGAACCGAAAATAACCCGGCCCGTCATGGTAAGAAACAAATGGACGTACGTAGCAGCAGGCCGTGTCATGTGTGACACGGCGATGTGGGGTGAAAGGTGAACGGAGGCAGAGGCATTGCCACATGAAACAAGACGTTAACGCCAGCAACGGCGATGGCTCATATACGTCAACAATGAACAGGCCTGTGGCAACAGGTTGACACGAGCGGCCTCCTCGAAAACCCGAATCAGACGCAAGCTTCGAATCTCAATTCAATAGCAATTCGGCAAGGGTAGGCCGACCACGTTTTGTCAGAATGGCGTCCAACCGTCGCAGGGTTACCCGAGAAGTACGTACCAACGCCACGACACACAACGAAAAAAATATCATAGGGAATCTGGTGGACTTCTGCAGCATGAAAGACTGTGAAACGTGAAAGACGAAACAGCGAGGAATGCAAGAAAAAGAAACACCAACCCTAGGGTAGCAAAACGTGTCAAAACATGCAAACGCAATCCAAGACGAAAACGAATGTTGAGAACTCTTGAGAAGGAACAGAAACAAACAAGGCAGTCAAAGCGCACCTTTGCAACATAATGTTGAATTGGGCGGGGTCCTTGTTCGAGAGAGCCGTCCAGAAATCTCGGCCGATGTAGGAGAAGGCGACGGACACACCGCTGTTGAGGAGCGTCAAAGCCACCACTGTCGCCAGCAGCCAGCGAGCACCATTATCCTCCTGCCCATAAGAACATCATTGCAAAACATTCAAAGAGAAAGACAACAGCAGCCAGCCTTGGTACAATTGTCTGTCATGGATTGTTTCCATGCTGCGTTGCTCGGACGAAGCAAACTCTTTCAGGTATTAGCAGAGCCCCGTTTGGAGACTGTAGTACGCCGTTTTTTCGACATGGTGAAACGAACAAAAACCCGCGTTGAGCTAGGTTTCAAGCTCAAAGGATGCCGCTCTACGACACGAGGGGAAGTGGGTCTGGACCAAAACAAGGATGGATGTTCATATGCTCTAATAGTGTTACTAGTACGACGGTGTTAAGGGGGTGCAGAAGACGAACTTTGATGTTGACACATTTTGAAAACAAACGCAAGAGCGCACCAGAAATTGCATAACAGACACCACCAGACCAGTAGGAAGGCACCGCGAAAAACAGAAATCGTTGATTCTCGCACAGGGCGGCAGTAGAGGCCGCTCAAAGCATGTATTTCACGCGTCTACCTCCACAGGCCTACTTTGAAACCAAGATAAAAAATTCACACCGTTCTAAATTCAAGTCAAAAGAGCCGAAACGGAAGGCGCTCAAACAAGGTCAGTTTCGAGGGTTAGGTTAGGCATACTATTGACAGCAGTAGAGGACATCATGAAGAGGTATCGTGCGTGCTGGCACGTTCAGGTTTGCCACTGGGGCTGAAATATCGAAGGTCGCAGCAGCCTTTGAAAACAGTCCGAAATCTGCGCCGGAACCAAGCGGCATCCAACATTTGTCACAGCCATGCTCGCCGCCACCGACCCCAATCTCCTGAACTACGGGCTTACAGCAGTAGCTGATGCCACTAGCTACTGCTGACACCCCTCCGTCCAGGGGGTCACGGTCCGTGGCGGCGAGCATGGCTGTGACAAAAGTTGGATACCGCTTGGTTCCGGCGCAGATTTCGGACTGTTTTCAAAGGCTGCTGCGACCTTCGATATTTCAGCTCCAATAGCAAACCTGAACGTGCCAGCACGCACGACGCCTCTTCATGATGTCCTCTACTGTTGACAATAGAAATTTTAAATAACCCTGGCGGGAAGGTTGTTTTCTTCTTTGTATAGGATTCAAGTGTGGGAAAAGAGCCAGCGTCAAAACCCCTTTTCTGCACCCCCTTGAGCGAACATTTTCCTCCCTTCGATGTTTGCCATCGGGGATGGGTTTTCGTCGCTTGGTAACGAGGTTGTAAAACAAGTCGCCGCCCCTGGTGTTTGCCATCGGGGTTGGGTTTTCGTCGCTTGGCAGCGATGTCGTAAAACAAGCCGATCACTTCGTGAGCTCGGCAACCACGTTACCGCTTTCTCTTTGGTGCCTTTGTTTTTGTTTTTTGCGGTACCCATGAATGGTTGTCGAGTAGATTATGTTGTGCGGGGTCGAGTACCCTCACTCCGCGCAAAGGGGATAATCGCACGTTGTGTTAAACTGGTCAAGCACCCTCGAGGCAGTAACACAGCGCTTACAACTGTCTCTGGAAGTGAAAGCACCAGAAAATAAATTGAGTCATACGCAGCTGTCATCCGTATGCAAGGAAGTAAGCACAGATGCCGCACACCCTTAGCAGGATGCAGCGCACCCTTCATGCGACTCGCCGAATACCTCACGGCGCTTCGCGCTTGGTGATGTGAGAGCCTGGTCCGGTGAGAACCCGGCGTGCTCCGTCCCGGCTTTGTAGGGATGCGAGGTCAATGGTCTAACGACTACGCGGCATGCACGACTATGATTACCCCCCCACCCCCCCCCCCGTTGAGCGAACAGAGTTGGGGTTCTGCCAAGTGAGTACGGGACAACGGGGAAAACAACACGATAACTTGCCTTGAAGAAGGGAGTTGACATCTCCACAAAGAGCCCGATTTGCGTCTTCAAGTCCGCCCCCTGGCGAGGCTCGTTTTCCCCCATCCCCGCATCCTCACCGACGCCCTGAACGCCTCCGGATTTGTCGCCTGTGGGAGAAGCAATTATTTAGTAGAAAGGGACAAACGGGCGGTTTGTCCATATGAGTCGGTGGGATTGAGGAAGGGGAAGGAAGGCGGGAGAGAGGCAGCCGGGTAAGAAATTCCTGTGTCAGTTGGCATGCGGGTCAATGCTAATGCCTTGATGGAGCCTTCGCTCGAGTAATGTGGCATGGGAACATACTATGCATACGTAAGCATGTAAGCATGCAGCTGTTTCAGGTCTGTTTCAATTTCGATGATAGATGACAGAGAATACCCAGAACCAAACCCGGCCGTTTCTCGTCACAGAAGGCAGGACGACTGGGCGTAACATGCAAACAGTGGGGTTCAAGTCGACGCAACGTACACCACGCGCTCTTGATGCCCCTCCGTAGTCGAGAGGTGCCACAAGGAGTTGGTTGTAGCGCGGCGTCATCGTGAAGCCCACAAGAATGCGAGTCACGCGAAGGATCTCGTTGGCAACCATGTTTAACAAAGCCGGAGTTTGAGCGTGGCCGATAGTTGAAGCCTTCCTACAGTAAGCGCCCACTCCCAGCATCAACTTGGCACTGTAGCTGCAGAATATGGCGTGGACTATGGGACGAGTGATGACAGAGAGTAAATAGAGTAAAGGTGGGAATGCAACGTCGACAATGACCATCTTGTCTCGAACCAGGGTATACATGAATCGTCATAATGCTCGGAGCATTCCATTGGGCGAGGGAAGGCAACCGGTACGCAAAGCAGTTTCACGGCTGTATGGGAGGGTTCAGGTGGAGCATAACATCATATTGTAGTCTAGTCCAGGGTTCATCTTCTACAGTATCTACCGTAAGACACCTGAGGTTCCGCCGCGTCCTCCCCTTGTCCACAGCAACAAGTGTCTAGGGTGAGATCAGGCCAACATAACATTGCCACAATCCAGGCACGAACAGCAGATGTATCGAGCACTTCCTTCCATAGCACGCAAGCTTTAGCAACTGCCCAGCGTACACGTATGCATATAGGCTGTTGTTCAATGGGAGCACGCAGCAGAATAAAATGCACCGCATAGTCTAACAACATGCATACCTTTTTCAGACTCGGTTCCTGTTGGTGCTGTTGAACATAAACTACTTGACGATTGTCGAAGCCATGGTAACCGCTGTCCCTGCTGCCCCCGATAGCCAAACGATGGGCAAGAGGTAGCGGCACCACCACCTCGTACGCCGTAACCGCTATCGCTGCTGCGGCTGCTGCTGAGTCGAGCTAGCGGGCGGGCGCTGGACTGTCGACATTGAAGAGACGGCGAGGTTTCGAACAAGCGGCGAGAAGACTGCGTTGTCGTCCAAGCCACTACGACAGAAGGTCTGCATGCTAGTAGGCAACACGACACCACTAGGGCCATCGTGGCGACCGTGGCATGCTTCATGGGTGTGTGTGTAGCACCCAAGGGAGGTCGGGGGTGTGTGCGTGCGTGCGTGTTTTAGGGCACCTTTTCAACCGCAGATAATGAAGCGAGGCGTTTTCTCGCACCTCGTCTCTCGTCCATCTCTTCATCCCCACTCTCTCGCTCACACCTACACCCCTCTCTCATCTTTCTCAACGTCTACACCAGAGTGCTACCTGGTCTGTGTGCCATGATGAGGAGACACGCTCTAGCCGGCGGAGGAGGCCTCCTAAGCCTGGGCATGGTATGGAGCCAGGCTATGTGCGCAAAGGTTGGTGATGTTGCATCATGATTGTTTTCGGAGTGCGATGTGCTTGGGCGTCGCTGTTGTCTGCTGTACTGCTTCAAATTCGCGCTGGCATTGCAATCCCGGTAGGCCACCATGCATGTCGCTGCTTGATGTCCCAGGTGCTCTCTCCTTCTCACCTTCACGTGACACAAGTGGAGCCTGGCACACACACGCACACAAGAATTGAAGTATGACGTATGATACCACACGCCCTTCGGCGAATTGACCCGATACAGCAGGCACTTTCTGCGGACAGAGAGAATAAGAGGGTGTCAAGTCGAACCACAGAGCCTATCGTACAGATCCTTACGGCATTGTCCAAGTCCCGTAGCCCTGCAGTGTGAGCAGCAGCAGTGAGCAACAGCCTTTCCACATGTCGCTTGCGCGACCTTCAGCGCAGTCGACGATGCATGTGCACACAGTAACACACATACGTGCAGTGTTGTGTTGCCTGGTATTAGCTGCTGCTCCCACTGGCATGCTCTCATCTTGTTTCGTACTGCCAGAAAATAGAAACACACGCATTGATATGCAAGTGTTGTAGTCATCTGTCGCGGTTCTCGACGGAGCTACTGCTTTATAGTGTGGATGAAGACTCTGTTGAAGTTCATTCCGTAACATTTTGCCGTGCATCAAACAGGCGGCATGGCCCCCTCGTTGGTGTACGGTACATACTGTATACCAATATTGTAGTACTATTGTAGTACTCTACGCATTTACTCCTGCATGGGAACAGAGCAACGTGCGCCGACACCGCTGGCGCTGCTGACACCGTTGACTGCTTCGTGTTCCATCTCTAGGCAAGCAACGGACACGGTCACCACTCGGCCTTCGCCTCCGCCCCGCCGCGGCCTTCTGGAAGTTCCGCCGTTGGCGTTGGTGCTGGTGCTACCTTTGGTGGTCGTGCTAGTAGCGCGGGGGTTGACGCAGGGACGAAGGGGATTCGGCCCGGCAGCCAGCAGAGGAGGCTTTGTGGCGGGGGTGACGGGGAGGGCGGGGGAGGGCGGGCTGGAAGGCGTGATCACTCTCAGCTGATCTTCGTCGGGGCGGGGTCCAGCACGGCCGTTCCTAGGTTACTTCTTGTTGAAACCGTCTGGAAACTATAGCCGTAAACCAACACGAGTCCTGGTGTTTTCCCTCTGGTTTGGGCGAATCACCGTACGCAACCTGACAAGCCTGGCCTCTGTTCTTCAATCGCGATAGCGGCTGCGGCGAAAAAAGCCGGCGAAGAGGCAAATCGAGAGCTGTCCAGCCCAGCTACGGCTGTCGATCTCTTGCCGTCAAGCACTCAGCATCCGTGTTTTCTCTCGGCGATTGTGTGGTGTCGGCCCGTCCGCGCAGTGTCAAGTAGGATAAACAGGCGTGTTTGCACCATTGATACCATTGCTCTCGTTAGCGTCGTCGCCATCATTGTTGTCGTCATTGTCATTTCCGTGTGTTTATCGCAACCACCGCCCCCGTGTGTGCATCTATGTTGGCAAATCAGCGCCTTTCTCCTCCTCCACCCGGAGCTGGACACTAAGCAGACGGCGATCGCTCAGCTGTCGGTGGCGACACCACCAGAAGTAAACAAAAACTACAGGTACGGGCCGTATCGTTTGGGTGATGTACTGCTGTCGCGCGGCGTGCATGCTTGAAACCCAGCCAAAGCATGAAGCCTGCCTCCGCTGGGTTACCTACTGTCGATGAGGCTGACAGCAGCAAAGACTAGCGGCTCCGCACCAACAGTAACAGTCACATGGACCGAAGTACCAATTCGAGAGAACCATGTGCATCGCTTGCATATTTGGTACTGCCCAGACGACTCTCCGCTGGTTGATCGTTAGGCATCAAGAAATTATCTGATGCCATGCTGGTGCTGGAAATTTCGGGACGAACCGCGTTTCCAAGTAAGCAGTACTGCGCGTCGCCTGGTATCACTTCGCCGTCGACATCAAGGGCGTCGAGACTCCAGCAGATTGACATTGCCATGAACTGTCGTAGCTTTGCCTACCACAGGCTTAGGGACCACGGTCTGCCCCCCCCCCCCCCCCCCCCCAAATACCCTATTTCGTGGTGGCGAAAATAACAAAGTGGCGATGCCTTGTAAGA